AGAGGAGTGGACAATGAAATGAATGTGAGTGAAGAGCTACTTGACTTCAAGAGGAACAGATGTATTTGTTTCTGTTTGTTCTGCCGTAGATGATATGAAACTACTGTGGAATAGAGTCACTGGGATTATTATGGATGGCTCACCTACCATGGCTGGCAAGCAAAATGGATTATCAAACCTGGTCTGTAATAAAGTCAGTGAAGAAGGAGGCAAAGCTATAAAACTCAGCTGTATTATTCATCAACAAGTTCTCTGTGTCAAAACATCTGAAACATGATCATGTTATGAAACCGGTCTTAAAGGCTATTGATTATATTTGTTCCAAAGCCCTGTGGCCATCATCAGTTTCAGCAGTTTCTACTCAACATCCAGGCTGATTTAGTGTATCACAACAATGTAAGATGGTGCAACCGAGGGTCTGCACTGCAGCACAGGGAGGAAATCAGTCAATTCTCTCTTGACAACTTTTCCCTCCAGCAGGATAAGGACAGGTTCTAAGAGATTTGAACATTTGCTAGGAAAATGCTGAGTTTGTTTGGCTCAACATACTTGTGCGAGAATACATTCTCGTTTATAAATATTAACAGCTATGTGAGGATGAGATTAAGTGACTCACTTGCATGACATTTGCACATCAAAACCACTGTTTTGAGGCCAGATCTGGCCTACTGGCTTATTTACTGCAATCAAGATCTCACTATCACCCTTTACATTAATGAAGGCAAGTTGTTTGTTTAGTCTTCTAAGGTGAATAAATTCTAAAATCTCAGTGAATTTATTTTTGTGATGATAAAAAATGATGCCATCATTAAATATGTTGCTTTAAAATTGGGTCCATTATTTTGAAACACCATAAATAAATCTGTCCATTCCTATTAAAAGATATGTTTTTGTTTATTTTAATGAAAAAATGAATTGAACTGTGTCATGCTGACTAAAGTCTATCATTTAGTATTTAGTGAATATTCATATTTTGATAACTGTCTCCACAGAATAGAGATACAAATCCAACTATTGTCATAGCTTTATAATTTTGGAATCTAGTAATTCTTCTAGACATTTGTCGAAGCATTGCAATGTGCAGAAAGGTTTTTTTTAATTTATTCATTTAACTCACATCTTATTTTATATAGCATGTGATCAGTAGTAATGTACATAAAACCAGAAGTAAGATATTTAAACTTCTTTATTATGAAAGCACATGTTGATGCCTACTGTCAAGTAACAGCTAGATATAAAGTGTTTTCTCTTTGAAATCTAGATTATCTCATTGTGTACATGTATTTTTCCAGAATTAGCTGAAAAAATATTTCAAACGGATAATATACACTCATTTCACATTATATAACTTTTTTTGGCATGGCACATGCTTAGCATTTTTATTACAGTTCTAAATGCTTTACTGAATCCTTTATGAAATCAGTAGCTAATTCTGATGGCAGTTTGGTAAATAGGCATAATGAATATTTTCAGGAGCATCCAGCTTTGCTCTTACCAGTTGGGTGTGACCAAGAGGTATTTATTTATAATTCCACTGGAGGCTTATTTGTCATTCATAGCCAAATATTAACAAGCAAGACTCATGTTGCATCATGTCTAGTTCACTGGCAGGCAGTGTGATGAGCTTAAATAACTAACGGTCCAAAAGCCATATGAGGTGATTCGTTCTTCACAAGGAGATACTTTGATAACCTTAACATTGAGAGTGTGAATAATTACAGTATATGCATCTATTGTGCATGATGCATTTGTTTTCTATGAGCATGACAAGAGGCTCCAGCAGCAGTGCAGTCAATTTAAGGCTGTATTTACAAGAGAACTAATGCTTTGCATGAAGAATATTACAGTTCTATTTTTAATACCTCTATAGGTCTAAAGATAATATTCTGGAGAACCAGTGCTGGCCTTTTTAGAGCTTAGTACTGATGTAGATGGATCCATGATTTGATATAGAGTAAGTTATTAAGTCTTTAAATGAATACCGTGATAATAAAACACTGTTTATCAATATTTCATCCACTTGGATTTCCCTTCCTAGAAGCCTCAGCTAGCGTGGTCAATGGTCATGGATTCTGGGAAATGAAAGCAAAAAGCCATTCAACTCTCAATTAAAAATGTTAAACCTAAATCTGAATAATTATAGTCTTAACAAAAATAATAGTTCTTTCAAACGTACACATATTAAAATACCTACTGTTGAACATAAAAAACAAGAAAATATGTATCTCTGTTTCAGTCTATTAATAAAAATGTCAGCCAAAAATGAAATCTGTAGTGTACATTAATTTACTATTGAGATTTTTTAAAAATGATGTATTTATTGTATATCTCAAATCTCTTTTAATACAGGTCCTAAAGCTGCTTAAAACACGTTTTAAAACAAAATAGAGCTAAATTCCAGAGTTATAACGTTACATAATTTACCTTATGAAAATCAAACATTGAAGAAAAATGGTTAAAAAGTATAACATGAAAAGAGGGGAAGGTGCAATCCCCTTGGTGTTGTAGCAGCCTGTAAGGGACAAAAATGGCCCATTTTTTTAAAAAAAAAATGCTTTGCCTGTTAGCCCAAGGAAATGACAGTAGGCATCTTAGCCTCACTTGGTCTGAGAGCAGCTACCAAGGACCTCACAGAGCATGCCTGTTGCGCAGGTTATTTATTTATTTATTTATTTATCGTGTCAGGAGCAAACAAAACAGTTGTATTGTATTTTGAAAAAAAAAAACAACACAAAGTTTGCAAACTTGGCATTCTATTAAATGTCTTTTGACCAGTAGCTGGACATTTGGAATGCCTCTGGTGTTACCATAAGAAGGTCCTCCATTGTGCATGTGGCAGGGTTCAGGTTGCATTGTAGTAGGTGGTCAGTAGTTTGCTCTTCTCCACACTCGCATGTCGTGGATTCTACTTTGTAGCCCCATTTCTTAAGAGGTTGGCTCTGCATCTTGTGGTGCCAGAGCGCAGTCTGTTCAGCGCCTTCCAAGTAGCCCAGTTTTCTATGTGCCCAGGAGGGAGTCTCTCATTTGGTATCAGCCATTTATTGAGGTTCTGGGTTTTAGCCTGCCACATTTGGACTCTCGCTAGCTGAGCTATTCCAGTGAGTGTCTCTGTAGATCTTAGAAAACTATTACTTGATTTAAGTCATTGGCGTGCTATACATAGGTAGAAATAGGAAAATGACTTTCCAAAAAAAAAAAAAAAAAAGAGGGAGAGAGAGAGACTTTGCCAAAAAAAGCAGCACATTATTATTGCATAGACTGAATCTGTAATAGATTAGGTTTTGAGGGATGTTTAGGAGCCATTTGACTTGGTCTGCAGTTGCACTAACATAGTTCCATCTGGGATCTTTAAAAGTGAGCCACCTTTTCTAAGCTGATAATATTAAAATAATGAGTTTAAGTTCACTTCTGATATTTAGAGTTTTATGTCATTTGATCCCTAGTAATGTTTATATTTCATGTTAATATATTTGTTGACTACATAGCAAGCTTACAATTTGAAAATATTTTATCTTGTTTTTTGAAAACAATTTGATTTAAAGATTATAATTTGTTTTTTGCTTTTGTTTTAAAACTTCTAATTTGCTTATAACTGTTGCCATTTTGTCTGGCTAAACTATTAATTAAATCTGCAAAGTTGGCTGCTTGCCTTCTAGACGTGTTTAAACACAAATCAGAGGATCTCCTTAATTTTCAAACTCATACTTTGAACAATAAACAAGTTAGATGGTTCTGAATAAACTATTAATTCTGTTTAAGATCATTAACTGCAATTTGATTTATATGAGAGAAGTTGTTAGTGCTGATATATTCAGCTAACAATGTTAAGAGGTGACAGGGTGGTGCTGAGGATTGGCATGAGTGCTTTATGCAGCTATTGCAAGAATGATTCTCCAGCAGGTAGGGTGAAGATATGTGGTTAAAAGGTTTCTTCAGGTTTTCCTAATCCTCTTTTTTTACAGTTCTGTATTTTTCCACACCAGATAGAGGTAGTTTTTTCATAGTTGTCAAGGCTGTTATACTGCAAATACTTAGATTAGATAGACTAAATGTAGTTTGTTCACTATAAATATCTGCACAATAATTCATGTACCAGGTACCAATAATGATTCTCAACATTTTTTCTAGTAACACTGGTGCTTCTTTACCCTATTCAAAATGTGGGAGAGGGCAGCTTGCTAAATGACTTGGTTTTGTACATAAACAAAGAGAAATGACTGTCACAAAAGAATCTGTATGCTACTTTGCATCCGCTTGCTCTGAGATAGTTGAGCTATTAGGTGGGTGGAAGAGTTGTTAAGGAAGCTGCCGTGTATCTAGTGTTGTATGAAGTCTGTGCAGTGGGGCTTTTCCTCTTCAGCTCCCCATTTGAAACACTTCAGAGAAGCCTTGGCCATCAGAGGACTTGGGAGTGTTGGGTGTGCGACATGGAAGAATTAATGGGAGGGGGATGGAGTTTTTCATTGCATACTACGCCTTCAAAGGGAAATTATCTCAAGAAAAATGTGGCATCTGCTGTTATTCAACCCTCACCCCGTACAAATGTGGCAGGATTTTTGCTTGCCTTCCCTTTGTCAGTGAAATTCAAGATAAAGCCCAGTCATTCTTGAAAGTGAACATGTTCTAAACATGAAATAATCTTCATGTAACTTACTTCTTCAACATTTACTTTATATCATGAACTTTTAATCCTTAGTAGCATTCACAAACGTTATTAGTGTCATCTGCTTCTTGGCTTAGATGTTTCCTTAAATATAAGGGGAATCCTTTTAGACTCTTCTGTTAGATTTATGGCTTATATTTAGAGCAGTAGGTCAAATAAAGCAGGGCTCTGTTACGTCACATTTCAGTAAGCCCATTCCGTAAGGAAATCTTCCAAGTTCTTTACTCACAAAGAGTAGCCTCTACTCTTACGAGGAGGTATAGTTGTTTATAGAGGTTGCTTAAACTGTGGAGATGTTTACTGAAATATGTATTTAGAGTAGAAATGTCATTTTTAGGGAACCTAGAAACAGCAAAGCTGACAGCATGCTACGGTGGATGGACACGAAGGAGGATCTGTTGGGGACAGAAAGAAAGAAAAATGAGGTAGATAAAAGTAGATGGCAATTGTTGTATTTGGGAATGTGTTCTTTTTACTAATATTACTGGTGGGAGGTAATTTGAATGACATAACCAATAGGGGGAAATTTTGAGTTAAATATATAGTTTAAAATTGGATTAGAACGTCTGATTCTCTTCTCTGTATGTATTTTGATTATGTAGGTAAAATAATCTAAAGAATAGAAGTTTTAAGCTGTAGTGTAATTGCCTATGTTTTGTCAGTGCCATATCTGTAGCTCAAGTTGTTAAGTTTAGGCATTATTGTTTTTAAAGACTTTATGTTTTACATAGAATGACTTATTTCCTCTCTGTGTCATTTTATGTAATCAAATTGTTTTCATTAATAGCAACATGAACCGTGAAGACCGGAATGCGCTGCGTATCAAAGAAAGAGAAAGGCGTAATCAGGAAATTCAGCAGGGCGAAGAAGCTTTTCCACCTAATTCTCCTCTCTTTGCTGAACCATATAAAGTTGTAAGTGCATGGATTTTTTGAAGTTTATTTTTATCACACTCCAAATTAATATTGCTTATGTTTCTGTTAGTTTGGTGGCACTGTAGTGGAATCCAGTGAAAAAAGGAAAAGCAAACACACCCACCCACCCCACTCACCACTAATGGCTCTGAAGGGCTGGGAAAAAAGCCAGAAACCATTTTGAGCATCATGGAGGAAAAGGAAAGAAATTCAGTTACTGTCATTGATATCATGTTGGACTTAGCACCATGACTGTTTTCAGGTCAATGCAAGTTTCATTATATGGAATGCCCAGGTTCATACTAGAAACTAATTGCCAGTCAGCTGTCTAAATGTGAAATGGTAGAATAAAATTATAGGTCAGAATATTATTCAGCTAATTGTTTCTGTATACTCTTGCCCGAGAGGAAAAGAACGACTCAGAATGTTAATGTTTATTAGCTTCCTATAGAGAGGCAGTTTTGTAAATAACAGATAATCGTTGAGCTTTATGTTTTTGATGTGTAGTTCATTGTGTGTAAGAGATTCATTATAATACTGTCAGTCTGCTTTGTTCATGCCGTTTTCTTAACTGTACTAGTTATGAGTAATTTGGAAACTGGTCAGTAAGAAATTTGACTAGAGTTTGGCATTTATAGTTTGGGGAATTAGCTGTGTGTGTGTGCTTCAAATATATGCCTACTAGAAAATTAGACAAAACTTGTTTTGTTCTGAGGCAGTTTGTTGTTCAACTGTAAGTATTCTGTTCTACATATTGCTGAGTTTGAAAGGTAACATGGAAGCTTATTTGTCTTATTTATTCTCCCTGGCACACAATTCTCCTTCTATCTTTACATTCCTCTTTCTGTGTTCCTCAAGGTGTATTAAATAGATAAGCAATAAAAACAAATTACTATGCACTTTCTTATTATGTGGCATGGTTGTTAGTGACTATAAGGCCAAAAGCTTGCACACATACAAGCTGGTGAAGGCAGAGTTGCTGCATTTTTAAAAACACACAAGCAAGTTATAGTTAAACTGCCTGTTTTTCTGCAAATATATCTTGTAAAATAGATACTGGTATATAGGAGGATCTACCCTTTTTCTAGTTTGAGAATAACACCATCGTTTGGTTCAAGTAGGCAATATGTTTATGAATAAAGTTAGTGGCAGAAGTAATAATAAATCATCTTGTAATCTGGAAAGACGTTGGGGAGTTCACATGCAATCCCCCACTGTGATCCTGCAGTATGTTCTGCCACATCTTCAATTTTCACATTCCTTTTTCTTTTCACAGTTTTAGGAAGAGAAGGGGAAAGATAGATAAGAGAGAGAGAAATAAGGGAAGACACCATGAGGTGGTTGTCCCATCTTGCTTCTTTCTTTTTCAGCCCCCTTTAAGAAGCCACTTCGTTTCACGACTTGTCAAAATACATTTATAGTACTGCTTTCTAGCAGTGGGCACGCTAAGCAGTTCTTCGATCCCAGCATTTCTCTTCTTTTTCTTTCCTAAGAGTGATTTGGCTAACATTCACTGGAAAGAAGGAGTTCTAAATATGACCTGTTTCTTTCTGTCTAAAAATATTCAAAGAAGGTTGAGAGAAATGTAAATGCTAACTCCCCCCAACTATTTTACTCCAACATAAAATATATGCATATTAGGAAGACGTTGGGAAGACGTTGTGTGCTCAAAAACTTAAGCGAAGGGTGCTTTAATCAAACAACAAGCAGTTGAATAAGTTGAGGCTATGGATCTTGGTCTTGAGACCAAGATTCAAAAGAGTTGGCATCAAGGATAATTTTCCCTTTGTATGCTTGGATTAAGCAGTAAACATCCTAAAATTGATGAGTTTTTTTCTTAATAATTTATTTAATTTGCTTTGTTACTGCAGTTTCACTGTTTTAAAGCCTGGTTTGTTTTTAAATGGGTATTCCTAAGTCATTAATTGTCAGTGTTTCTTCTGACATAAGAAGCTTTTAGAGCATTCCAAGTGAGCCAAATATAGCTTGGCAGGCAGCTGTGTCCTTTATTTTGATCCCAGGACCATAGAGATCCTAAGTGAATTTGGCATGTCTTAAGGATTTCAAAGGAAGGATTCTCTAAAGCTCCGGAAATAGAGCGATCACCTTTTGGCTCTTTATAAAATCGGTTACCACAACAAGCAAGGAATCATACGTCTTACAAGTAGAGCTAGAGGGACAGATTGTCACTTGTCCTCTTAATCGTAAACTGAAGGTCCATAAACAACATGACTAGAGCTTTTATAGAGAGCTGGCCATATTTGTACATTATTAGAATACTCATAATCTATTTTTTTTAATTTAAAGCACTAAGATGTCAGTATTGATAATGTATATATTTTTAAAAATGTCTGTTACTTCTTAAAAAGAATGTTAAATTATTTTGCTTCCAAGCTATTAAATACATATTACAAAAGTAAAATGAAGGCTTCATGTTGAATTCATTATAGACACTTCTATGGTAACCCTATATCTTATAGCTTGCTTTACAAAATATGAATTATTTTGTTATAAATCAGAAATAAAATAATTTCAAACACATTTTCAGAATTGAAAAAGGTAACCATTATAATGTATAGAATGTATATTTTAAAATGTACTTTTGCATCATGTTTTTACCTTTCCTGCAGACCAGCAAAGAAGATAAATTGTCCAGTCGTATCCAAAGCATGCTTGGAAACTATGATGAAATGACAGATCTTATAGGTGACCGGTCTCTCCAAAAACGTTGCGGAATGCCCAAGCCAACAGTATCATCAACAGCAGATGAAAAATCAAACCAAAGTTTCTTTGGTGACCAGAGACATAGTGGTGGTTCTCATCAGAGCAGCAAATGGACACCTGTGGGTCCTGCACCTAGCACTTCTTCTCAGTCACAGAAGCGGTCCTCGGGCCTGCCAGGTGGACATGGTAGTCAGCGCAGCAGTGGCAATAGCACTAGCAATAGTGGTCAGAGACACGATCGTGACTCATATGGCAGCAGTGGGAGCAGCAGTAGCCACAAAAAAGCCCAGCATGGGTCAGAACACTCAAAGTCCCGTTCTTCCAGCCCTGGAAAACCATCTTCTGTTTCTTCTTTGAATCCCAGCCATTCCAGATCTCATGGAGGTGATCATCACAGCAAGGAACATCAGCGTTCTAAATCTCCACGAGATCCTGATGCCAACTGGGATTCACCTTCTCGTGTGCATTCGTTTTCCAGTGGTAACCAGTCTTTCCCTCCTTCACTCATGTCAAAATCTAACACAATGTTGCAGAAGCCGACTGCTTATGTGAGGCCTATGGATGGCCAGGAATCCATGGAACCAAAGCTATCTTCTGAACACTACAGTAGCCAGACTCACAGCAACAATATGAATGAGCTGAAGCCCAGTAGCAAAGCACATCTCACAAAGCTGAAAATTCCTTCCCAGCCACTTGATGTAAGTTTTTTTTTAAAGTTATGAGATGGAGAGATTGATTATGTTGACATTCCATGGAGTAATCTATGAATTAAGGGGTTACTACAAAAATTCTTCTGAAATTTGGATATGCTTGTAAGGACGCCTAACTAAAACACAGCAATAAGTGCATCCATTTTAACACCTTCAGTTCTCCTAGGTTTCATTAAAATACTTTTAGTATGCTTCAAGTCATGAAACACCATTAAAAATATTGTCTTAGTTTGTGTCAGCATTTTTAAATGAGATGTTTTTCAAGTTTCACGTATGTAAAAGTCTGTGATTGCTTTGTTCACAATGGCAAGTATTTTATTTATTTATTTATTTATTTTATTTGACTTGTATACCGCTACTCCCAATTTGGCTCGGAGTGGTTTACAGCAGTAGATTAAAACAATACAATTAACTTTAAAATAGAATAAAAACAAGAACAGACATAGTCCCGAGTTAGTCACCCATTGAAAGTTTGTCAGAAGAGAAAGGTTTTACAGGCTTTCCGAAAAGCAAGTAGATCTTGCATAGTTCGGGTTTCAACTGGCAAGGCATTCCATAAATAAGGGGCTGTGTTGTGAAGGAGAAGCCTTTATGTCAAAGCTGTAACACCTTTGGCTTTATATTTCTGGTACTCTAATTTATCCAAGGGTGCTATTTTGTAATTGTAAATTCTACATTGAAAACAAATGTTTGTTTGTTTTTAGAATAACTTATTTTCTTGCAGAATTACTACACTAAATTAAAAATGCACCTGGTAACTAACATCTGAACATTGAATTGTAGGCATCAGCATCTGGTGACATGAACAGTGTGGATGAAATTCTAAAAGTAAGTTGTTTTTTTGTTTTGGCTTTGGGGATTTGCTTGGTTTATAAATGTATACATTTTGATTTTATCCCAAATGCATTACTGTAATTTTTCCATATGTGTTTAAATACACATGTAAGAAAACATTAATGCATTACAATATTTAACAATGAAATTATTAATTAGAACACAGTTGGACATATTCTGAGAGTACATGGCTGTTTTTATGTCCCCTGAACTCTCCAAGTCCTGGGCTAGAAGTTCTTAAAAGAAAAACATTTCTAGCAAAAAAGCCCCTAAACAAATGGATGTACTAGTAGTCTTTCATATATAGTGAAGAGGATATTTCCAAGTGGGGGTTGGGGGTGGGGAGAAGAAGCTATGGTTTGGAGCACTGTTCCTCAAACCATGTTTTGGACTTCAGCTCCCACAGTTCCTAACAGCTGGTAAACTCGTTGGGATTTCTGGGTGCTGAAGTCCAAAACACCTGGAGGAACAGAGTTGGGGAAACACTGGTTTGGAGGAACAAACATTGTGGTAAAGGTCCCATATTTATTCCATCTATGTTAGAAAATTCTTTATTTTTTTCCTTGATGGATTGTGTGAAGGGAAGGGATTTTTTGTGAAAAAATACCTTGTATGGTGAGGAACAGGTGAAAAATCACTACTGGATTAATCAGTAAAACAGTATAAAGAGAGGAAGCCATAGGGAGGAGGGAGCAAGCTTGTTTTCTGCTTCCTGGAGACTGGGACGCGGAACAATGGCTTCAAACTACAAGAGAGGAGATTCCATCTGAACATGAGGAAGAACTTCCTGACTGTGAGAGCCGTTCAGCAGTGGAACTCTCTGCCCCGGAGTGTGGTGGGGGCTCCTTCTTTGGAAGCTTTTAAACAGAGGCTGGATGGCCATCTGTCAGGGGTGATTTGAATATTCCTGCTTCTTGGCAGGGGGTTGGATTGGATGGCCCAACTCTTTGATTCTATAATTCTATGATTCTATGAAAGATAAAATAAAAAGTGGCCAAACTCTTTAAGTTCATTAAAAAATCTTTGATATTGAAAAAGGTTACAATGTTGGCATCAGTTATGCATTGTTGAAGGTGTTCCATTGTCCAGATTTGAAATATGAGATCATATCAGGAGTTGAAAAGTATGAATCACAGACATGCAGCCCCCCCCCCCACTTCCTTTTGCTCTATATTGTCCCTTCATTGTAGGTGTTGTGGGTTGCAATTTTGACATATTTTTGCCTTCTCCCACCATTTCAGACTTAGATAAAGGGAGAGGTCTCTTATCTAATTAGAAGACCTGGAAATTGGCCTTTGGTGCATCTCCTGTTAAAATAAAAGGTGTTTCCTGAGCCCGAAAGCATGGCAGAATTAATCCCTCCTCCTAGAGCGTTTTTGGGACCCAAAATGTTTTAATATTTTTGGTATTTGATTATTTTTGCAATGATAGGGGCAGCATTCCAAGTTTGTCTTGTCAGCCATTGTTGTTCCCATGCCTCCAGGAATTGAAATATGAGCACATTGGTATATGGGAGGCACTTCTTCAGGCATTTAGGGTGATGAGCAATTTAGACTTTCCAAAGGTTGACACTAGTAGCTTAAGTTGGCTTTGGAAAAAAAAAAAACAGGCAATGAGAGCAACTCCTTTAGAACTGGTGTGGATGTGAGGGCAATCTGGCTGTGGCATGTATCACCCGATTGATCACCAGAGTTGAATAGGCTGATCTGACTGGCTAGGCGGGTGTCCCCTTCCTCTTTCATGCTCCATGTGCATCTCTCCTGAAGCTGTGTGCTTGGTGGAAGAGAATGATCTCCCAGGTATAGAAGGAGTGTACCGAGGTCTCCAGTCTTCATTCCTGGGTATATGATTATTTATTTATTTATTTAAAAGTTTTATATACCGACCTTCTCACCCCTCTTGAGGGACTCAGACCGGTTTCCAACCATAAAATACATACAGTCAATAAAACATCATACTTCATATTTCAATAAAACATTAAAATAGCAAAACAGCAATTACATTCAATAAATACAATGGTCAGTCGTCCCACTAAATTTTATGTTCATCATCCTCCATCCATAACTCCGGGTGTTGGCTCACTCCTCGAATGCCTTTCTCCATAACCACGTCTTCACCTGCTTCCTGAATGTCAGGATAGAAGGGGCGGTTCTGATCTCCTGTGGGAGAGAGTTCCAGAGTTGAGGGGCCACCACCGAGAAGGCCCTGTCCCTCGTCCCCACTAGACGCGCTTGCGAGGTCGGTGGGACCGAGAGCAGGGCCCCTCCAGACGATCTTAATAATCTTGATGGTTCATAGGGGAGAATACATTCGGAGAGGTAAACAGGGCCGGAGTCGTTTAGGGCTTTATAGGTTAAAACCAGCACTTTGAATTGTGCTCGGAAGCTAATTGGCAGCCAGTGGAGCTGTTGTAACAGCGGAGTGGTGTGCTCCCTGTACCCAGCACCCGTTAGTAGTCTGGCTGCCGAGCATTGGACTAACTGCAGCTTCTGGGCAGTCTTCAGAGGCAACCCCACGTAGAGAGTGTTGCAGTAATCTAAACGGGATGTAACCAAAGCGTGGACCACCATGGCCAAGTCAGACTTCCCTGCTAGAACCTCCAAACAAGCTCAAAATAGGTGTAATTTATACCTAGTAGGAAGGAATACTCCCAGGTTAAGTGCTTGTTCTTCTTGGTAAAGTTCAGGCCTTAATAAAATGGTTTCCTAAAAATGGAATCACCTGTCCACAATTGCTCCTTTCTATCAGAATTCATCTTAAGTGGTCCTCCTGAAGCCCATTACTGAATCCGGCCACTGGATCCGCATCTACATAGGCTCACCTGAGTTGGGAGGATGGAAATCGAGTTTATAAAAAGTCTGGATTTGTTCGATTGGAGTTTTCAAGCAGAAAAAGCCTTTACTATGAAGCTTCTGAGCAGTTCAGCCAAAGTGTTATTTTTGTGTTTATTCATTGCACACATCCCAGTTTACAATGCTATCAGGTCTTTATAGTCTTTGGACTAATAGTGAGGTCATTCAGTCACTGATTGCATTGAATGTAATGCAATTATTGCCAAACTTTAAATATCTTAAGGTGTGCCTTTTCTTTTGCGTTATTATAGAAGTGTATGATGGTGTTGGGTATTCTTTTGTGTTCGTAATAGGAAATGACCCATATTTGGCCACCTCCATTGACAGCTATTCATACACCTTGCAAAACAGAACCTTCAAAGTTTCCATTCCCAACCAAGGTGAGTGGATAGCACAAATGGTTGTGTAATTCTAGATACATGTTACATGATTCTGCAAGTAGAATTTTGCCTTTTATGGATCATGACTTCAGTATTAATTTTGTGATGATTTATCTCAGCAATTACTTGGATTGGAATGATTTCAGTTTGTGCTCTTAATTTGGACATTTTTACCTTTTAATCTCGTTCGTCTTTTCTCTTTAACTGATTACATTCGAGTTGGTTCTTCCATCGCTAGTGAAAGTGTGTTTGTCATATGTAATAGGTATGTTTTCATATTTTCAGAAAAAAGTACCATATAAATTGGTCATATTATCCTGTCAGGAAGCTCCGACTGTGCTATTTATAAACATAATGTGTCATAGTCTTTTGACCATCTTAAAAATCTTGAGCCACCAGTCAACATAAATGATCTGAGATGAATCTAGAACAGTTTTTTTCAAGCCCTTTCCTTTGATGGAGAACTCTTGCAATAATTTTCAATTCTCAGGAAACCTCTGCATTAAAATTATTATATCAGTAGCTCAAAAAGTATTGCTTTTATAAGATATCTTGCCAAAATGTTAGGAACCTCTTAAGACTACCCTTGGTTGAGAAACACTGCTCTAGAGGATTTGCCTTTGCGTTATAATGTACTTATTGAAGACAGCAACTGTTTAGAAATTAAAACTGTTCAAAAGGACTCTGGTGAAGCAGCACTTCTAAACATGTCCTTGTATTTTGTACAATATATATATAGTACACTTAGGAGATTTTTTGCTTAGGAAAATTATTGTAACTTTTGTAGTGTTCAGTTAAACAAAACCTACAGTGAATGCTTCTCTGTTTAAAAGGACCACTTATTTGGGGGGGGAGGGAGATGTATTTTCCTTTGATTAATTTAAAAAGGATTCTGTTGCCTCATCAGGATAATACCATACATTAATTTTGGTATAGTCAGTGTCTTGTTTTAACTTGCACCCAAGAAAACAAACACTGATGCAGTTGTATGTTTCTCAGCACTTCTGTTTCTAGTTCCTTCAACCTCAAGCAAACTTATAAACTTCATAAATGTTATATATGCTATTTCATAAACAGCATTTGTTACCCATAATGGTCTCTGTTATCTAACTTATGTAATGCAAATCTATAAAGGTGAACCAGTAATGATTAATCTCTCACAGTCGCATTATGTAGTAACTAATGGCAATAGTTCTGTTTTGTCATTTTATTTTGCCTTGTTCATTATCTTCTTGTTAAGCTACATGTGGAAAACTTGTACTTTATTAGATTCTACTGTATAATCAACCAGGGGCACACTATGTACCTTAGTTACCTTGCTCAGGTTTATACATAGCCAAATGCTTTCCTGGCAGGGGAGCTTTTGTAATTCAGAACAGAGAGTGCTTTAGGTCATTGAATTTACCATAAGCTTAAATAACAAGGCAAGTATGAGTTTTCTTTACACACCATTGTTTGTTTGCAAGGGCAGCCTAGCAAACAAACAAACCTTGGTGTACATGGTTTGCTGCTTTGTAATGAATTGTAAGTTTAAGTCATATCCCATAAATTTCTAGATTGAATTTCTGTTACACATATAAGAGGAAATCATCTTTTCATGTTACTCCTCTCGAGTTCCTATAAATATTTCCTCGAGTAATATTGCCTCATCTAAAATCATTCTACTACCCATGTTTGTATTTAACAATTAGATTTTTCATTTGTTCTTGAAATAATATATTTCTACTCTTATTACCATGTAATTCTTCTCCTTCTTTCCTTTTCATTTACTTAATACAAAGAATGCAGGCTCAAGTTGTCCATGAATAATTTTATAAAAGTATTAGGAAGCATCGGGAGCAGCTTTAGAGTGCTGTCTAACTTAATAGACAAGGAATAACAAGTTTCCTATGTGTGCATTTTCCAGTAGATGTTATCACACTGCTTGGCTATAACTAGGGGTCTTAATTCCTTTATATTTACCACAACCAGTAAAATAGTTGCTGTAACTTTGTATGAGTAAAGGACAGAGATTAGAAAGTCACTTTAACAGGTGATCCCAGATGCTTTGGACCGTGGCTTCCCTCAGTCTCAGACAGCATGCTCAATGGTGAAAGATAATAGTAACCAAGTGCCAAAACAACTGGAGGGCATAAAGTTGTCTCCACCACCTTCAAGGGAGCCACTTTATTTTTTTTTCTTTGAAATCTTAACTCTGAGACAACCAGAACAAAGCTTTTCTTCTTTCAGTATTTTCCGTTAAACACATAAACAATATTTTATGTTCTTACAGGACACACAGCAGTCTAATTTTGGCACCGGAGAACAAAGTAAGTCCATGTTTGATTGCTCTAAATATTTATTTTACCTGTTTGCCTTTTACATTCAAATTTCCTATGGAAAACTGTGCTTTCCCCCCATAAAATTTTAGTAATTATTTGTTGTGACTTTTGATAAATTAAAGATCTGAATTGTTCATGTAGTCTTAATGTATTTTTGTATATATGTTTTCTAGCACATATCACTTGGATATAGTGTGAGAGTATTAATAGCTTGGTGCATTCATATTTGTAAAAAATCTACTGGTGCACAGGTTGAGAGAAGTTTGACTATAGCATGAATGCTGCAGCTGCATTTAGACTTTGGGTATCAAATTGGTTAATATACCTTGTAACGTTTGTAGATGAGACAACTAAGCAACAAAATAGCTATTTATTTATTTATTTATTTATTTATTTATGACATTTATATGCTGCCCTTCTCATCCTGAAGGGGACTCAGAGCGGCTTACAAGTAAAAAGTAAATACAATATATTGTATTATCACAGCACAATATTATTATATATTACATTGTACTATAACATTATACTGTAATATTATTAGTAATATTACATTTAATGTAAAATATATAATTATAATTTTTTATTATTATTATTATTAGTAGTAGTAGTATATTGTATTACATTATAATATTATCAATATTATATGTATATACAGTATATTATATTATATTAATTATAAGCACAGTGCAGGAGACAAGATGGAACTGCCTTCCTGGCCCCTCCCTTCACTCTGATCTCAGAGCAGTGCTTGGTGCTGGAGGGGGGGGGGTGCTCCTAACTTGAACACCTGAACTTCTTACATTTCCCTTCTTATATTTCCCTTACATTATTAAGCATAATTCAAAGTAGACAATGCCTGTGTTAGATACTTGCCCATGGTTGTACTAACTCTTACTCTTCTCTGTCCCCATAGTACTGTCAGTCTTTAAAGTCGCAACATAAAAAATTGCTTCCCTTCTCCCAAAAGGATAACTGCAACTAGCAGTGAATTTGATCTGAATGAAACAGGACTGTGTGATGTAATTTCCATGTCTGACTACTTTTTCTTTAACTCTAGCAACTAATCTGCTCAATTAGCAAAAGTAGAACTATAGGGTGTTTCAAAATGATGGATTCAATTTCAAAACAGTGTATTTCATGGATTGCTGAGAGTTTTTTCTAGGCTGTATGGCCATACAGCTCAGAAAACTCACAGCAACCCAGTGATTCCAGCCATGAAAGCCTTCGACAACAGTATATTTCATGATGGTAATGTGTTCCAATTACACAAAACTTTACAACGGTTTGATTGAGTTATCACGATACCAAATTTTACTAACCAGTCTGCAAATAAGAATTAAAGATTCTGCTGTATGCTGGTCTATTTTAGTTAGCTTAATAAACTCATTTTAACAATTATTATTATTATTATTATATTATTATTATTATTAACTTTATTTGTACCCCGCTAGCATCTCCCGAAGGACTCGATGCGGCTTACACAGGCCGAAGCCTCAAAACACAACATAACAGTACAACACCTAAAGCAAATTAAAAACAATTAAAGCAATATTAAACAAGAAGCAATAAACAATACATCAAGACACTATAAAACTGGGCCGGGCCAGAGTAATGGGTACAGGATTAAAAGTGCTGATGTGACATGATATGTAAGGATAATAGGGTAAGTGCAGTGTGTGGTGTGCAGCAATCTTAGTTCTAATAAAGTGCTTCTGGGACTTGTTATTGGAGATTCCTATTCTGGAAAGGCACATCGGAACAGCCAGGTCTTCAAGTTCTTTCTAAAGACTGCCAATGTAGGGACCTGTCTAAGATCTTTTGGGAGGGTGTTCCAGAGTCGGGGGGCCACCACAGAAAAGGTCCTGTCTCGCGTCCCCACCAAACGCGCCTGCAACGCAGGCGGAATCACGAGCAGGGCCTCTCCGGATGAATGAAGTGAGTGCGTGGGCTCATAAACTGAGATGCGGTCATGCAGGTAGGACGGTCCCAAACTATTTAGGGCTGATATCATCTTGTAGATGACGGAGGCTAGGGAGCGTTTGTGCTTTGGGAGAGTAATCTATCAGCAGTCCTTTGAAACTCTTATGTCCCATCCTTTCAAGGGGTAAGGGTTTAATTCATGGGTGGTTCATGGTTGCAGAGATAAGAGTGCTTTCAAATCAGGTCCATCTTTTTGAAACACCCTGTAGTTATTGTAATACTAGCTCAATTCAGTTGTTGCAGAGCAGAGTGCCAACACACTGCTTGGCTATAACTAGGGGTCTTAATTCCTTTATATTTACCACAACCAGTAAAATAGTTGCTGTAACTTTGTATGAGTAGTGTTGATCAGGTCTTGTATCTACAGACCTGAAATTTCTTCCCTCCCACCTTCCTTGTAAGCTTCTCACTTCCTACTGTAGTTTGAGATACCTATAATTTGACATGGTCAGAATCAGACAGCCTGTGATTAGTACTAAGAATATTCTGCTTTAAATCATAAATTCCAATATTGTGATTATTTTCTGTTCAGTTTGAAGGCCACTTTACAGTTTTACCTCTGTACGTGTGTTCTTTTTCTCTTGGTGGTTTTTTTTAACTATACAGAATTATTGCTGTAATAGGAATAATTTTATTAGAAATATATTTAAGAAAGAGACAACACTTAGTATTTATAACCTGTAATTGAAATCCTGAACAGATGTGTGATACCCTTTTGTTGTGTACTTTCACACATTTGTATGATAAAGTTGCTCTTTCCACCCTCTTTCAAAATCACTTCTCAATCCCTTCCATTCTTTTAAAGAGCCTTCTGAAACTAATAGGCCCGTATCTAGTGGTAACACAATTTCTGCAATAACTAGTGAATTATTAGGATTGTTCAGTTACTATCTGAACCCCACTGCACTTAACATTTTCACTCGATGACAAAAAAAGTCCAAAAGGGACTTGCTGTAGCAACGGTCTTAAGGCTTACTGGAATAGGCAAAAATAGTTGGACAGTGATGGTCCCCCCCCCCCCCCCCCCCCCCCCCACCAATCCCAAGTCCTTCAATTACCTTCAATTACATCTTGGTAATTGAAGGACTTGGGATGCTTCTTCTCTTTCTCCAACTTGCTTTGTTTATTACAGAAAAGTATCTTTTGAAGAAAGCCTAGTATTTTCTGGGTTTCTAAATAGTGTAGTTGATAGATTTGGCACAATCAAGGTCATCATTTGTTGGCATATCTCTGGAGCTGTATCATTTGCTGGAGCTGTATCATTTGATGTACCCTCTTCTTATTTATCCCTAAGATGGGTTTGGAATGAAGTAAAAGGAGAATTTTTGAGGATTAAACCATAGAAAGCACCCAGAGGCAACACTGAACAAGAAATGAGAGAATTGCACAAATTTCCATATTAATAATTTTATTTGTACCCCGCCACCATCTCCCCAAAGGGACTTGGGGCGCTCACAGAAGCACTCCAAGTGCCACATGCAGACAACAATATAAAAGTACAAATAAAATGACATAAGTATAATAACAGTGCATAAAATCTCATTAATAAAATTTGAAAAATTTGAAAATTATAAAATTCCTAAAATGCAGTGGGATCTGCGACCGGCTATCTGCCATAACAATCAATCAAAATGAGGACCGGTACTATCAATACTTCCATCTACTTTTATGAACAAAATAGCCAGAAATGATCTGAAAGGCGTTATATTTATTGGTTGGGTTAAACAGTCAGGACATGAATTTTAGCAGTGTTCACTTGGGAAAATGACATGGAAGGTTGCAGCCATATATGTTTCAAAATGACACCATCCTGGTTATTGGTTCTTAATCTCTAAATACACCTAATGTTGTTCTTAATCTCTAAACACACCCAATGTTTTGAGCAATAAGTTAGAATGTGCAGTTCGGAAATTTTACACATTGATTTTGGTGTTGATGGAAAAAGACTCAGCTGTTGCATAACAAGGATTATAATAAAGCTGCTGTTGAGATAATAGCATCGCCAGCCAAGTGCATTAAATAGTTGCATGAGATAAGAAATCTGTCTCATTTGTGTTACTTGTTATCTAAACAAGCCTAATAATACTTGTTATCTAAACAAGGCCATTCTTCCAACTTTATAGTTGAAGTTGATGTTAGTCTTTCACATCTGGCTCTCTAAATCAGGTTAAAATAAATAATCAGTGTTGTATGTCTAGAATATATACAGTTGTATCATGCATCTTCAAGCCAATGATGCAGCTTATGGAATTAAATCAGTAACAGGAAAGCATTATTATTGCACCTCTTTGCATTATTTCTTACTAATGCAGTGGTGTTACACAGTTTCCATTTCAGCCATTCTTGTGTCCAAACGTAGTCTCTTGGATAGCGTATATATTTTATAGATTATTTTTAAATGTGCTGTTTCTCCCCCTTCCCATTTTTCTTCTTACAATCCAGAGAGATACAATCCTTCATCAAAAACATCTAATGGACATCAGTCTAAATCGTAAGTGTGTCTTATGTGTTTCTTTAAGATATTTGCAGAAATGTTATAAAAATCCAGAAATAGATATATCAGTACATTAGAATGATTTCCTTTATTTAAAGCTTCATGGAAATAGAAAACTAGCACAGCAGGGTTGGACTAGTTTTCTCTGATTTGCTTGTTATCTCTTTGTAGGAAAATTTCTGTGTATGTGTTTCCACTAAACTGGTTTTGTTTGAAGCATTCTGAAACACATATAGTCAAACACATTCTGTTCAATGTGTAGATCTTGTCTGAGTGCAATAAACTATTGTTGTTAAACCATTTTTATTTTTATTTTTGTCTTTACTTCAGAACTGCCTGCTACATTGAAGAATTTTAACTCCATTTTTGTTTCTGTTTCAGATGCGAGGCAAACCAGACCGAGTAAGATGCTTTGTTTATTACAGTGATATCAAGTGCTTTTCTTAATGTAACAGAATTCTAAATTTAGAAAGAGAATTTTGGAATACCTGTATTTGCAAAGATGGGCATAATGAGATATCTTGGAGATGGGATCCAGTCCAAACACAAAATTCATTTACATGTCCTATACACCTGATATACATAGCCTGATAGTAATTCCCCTCGGGGACATAGGGTGGGCTACAAATAAAGTTTTATTATTTATTAGTTTTATTATTTAGACACACTATTTTAAATAATATTTCATGTATATGAAAAAAAGGTTTTCTACATTGACCCATCAGGAAGCATCTGAGCTAACTGTGTGGACAATTTTGAGTTTTGGAGTATTCTGAATTTTCGAATTCCAAATAAGGGGTGCTCAACATGTATAAATACCTTGCGCTTTGTCCTATAAGCATTCTGTCTTTTATGGAATGTCATATCGTCAGGCTGTTTTTCATACCTTCTTCTGTTTCTCTTGTAATGATTTAAGCACTTAACTTTTCAACATACTCCTTCAATAGAGTATCATTCTATCACGAAAATAGCAATAAGTTAATGGCATTGTCATAGTTTCCATGAAGATCTTCAATGTTTCTGTTGATTTTTTTAAGCTGTTAAGTTTCTTTCTCTTCTAGTGTTCTGATAAATGACTTGAAACTTAGCAGCAGTGAAGACAGTGATGGTGAACAGGTTATTATACTTTTTTATTGGTTGTTTTTGATTTCTGCCAAGCTACATGGGGAGGGGTGTATATGGTTTAAACAGTGTAACCTAAGCAATGGAATGCAGTCTACATGCATTTAAAATAGATGTAACATTGTGGTTTAACCTTTTTAAAATAGTTGCTCAATTTGCCCTAACATTGGTATTCCAGAAAGCCTGCCAACATAATGACATCTTCATATTCCAGTTAAAAATAGCCAGTATTGAAGCCATGAAGTGACATGAAAGACCAAAGCAGGTTATGTGGAGAGACACAGGTATTGTAACACAGTAAACTCTCAGTTAGCCAGCACCCATGGAGATTGGCAGATGCCAGAGAAATGTAGTTTCTGGATGCTTGAAAATTAGTATTAAAAATAAGCCTAACTAATATTGTACCCCCTACTTTATCATATTATACCACACCATACTAAAATTCTGTATTGACTTGATACTTGATATTAATATACAGTACAGTGTTCCCTCACTTATCGCGGGTGTTACCTTCCAGGACCACCCACTAAAAGTGAAAATCTGTGAAGTAGAGACCACACACACACACACACACACACATCTCACATTGTGAGGGTAAGGCAGAAGCTAGGAAACATTAAAGGCACCACACACTTTTTGCTAGCTATAAGGAAGGGGCTATAAGGCCGTGATTTATATACTGCTTTGTATCTCCTCTCTCTTTTTTTATGATTGGCTGCCTCTCTCCTGAGGGGGAGTGTGAAACCCCCTTCCATACTCCATCGTTGCCAAGAGGCAAAAACCTGTGAAACGGCACATCTGCAAAAAGCAAACCGTGAAGTAGCAAAGGGACCCTGTAATTAAAAGCAAATAAAGACAAATAAAGACAAACATGACCTAATGTAATACAGTTTTATTGTGTTATAAAAGTGTTTTAAAACTTAAAGTATATGTTTACTGATTACTTGGGTTTTGGTCAACTGAAAATCCAGTGTATTTTGATCTTCAAGTGTAAAGGTAGGCAAAGCTAGAGATGGGAAGGCAGGGGGGGGGGGGATGGGAAATTTGTTTTTTTTTCCTGCCCCCCCCCCCAAATTTGTAGAAACAAACAAAAAAATCTCATCAATCTTTCATTAAGGTCTTCATTTTATAGGTTCAATACCGTATAATAGATATATTATTTATCATTGGAAAAGAACATACCGTATATTCCGGCATATAAGACGACTGGGCGTATAAGACGACCCCCAACTTTTCCAGTTAAAATATAGAGTTAAGACTACTCCCATGCATAAGACTACACCCGCGTATAAGACAACCCCTGACTTTTGCAGAGATTTTCTTGGGTTAAAAAGTAGTCTTATACGCCAGAATATACTGTATTCTACACACTTTTCATTTTTTCTGAGAAAAATGGCTTTGGGAAAAAGGGGGGAAACACTGTTTCCCCTCCAGTTTTTCTGGATTTTTTCCTGGCCTTCCCAGCTCTAAGCAAAGCACATTGCAGTAAACCAGCACTATGATGATAAAGGGTATGAACAGCCAGGTCTGGATTCTTTCAAAAAAGGCACAGGGATCTTTTCACAAGAAAGGGATCTTTTCACATGACACAGCTGTAGGAGTATGATTCTGCTTTAATTGCCGTGGCTACAACCTAGGGAATCCTTGGATTTGTAGTTTGGTGGGACACTTAGAAGAACATTTTGGCTACCCTTCCTAGACTGCAAATTCTAGGTTCCTATAGAATGCTGCCCTGGCAGTTAAACTGGAATCACTGCTATGATTGTGTAGCGTGAAATGGCCCAAGGCAAAACTGAAATCTTTCCAATGCATCTGCATGCAGTTTTGCATCCAGGTCTTACTGATTTGTGTATCTAAGCAACTGTTATGATTTTCAGGGAATGGCTTATTGTTCGGGCATAAACACAATAAACCTTGTAGAGAAAATTGTAGCAGGAACTGCATTTTTTTAAAAAAACCCTAAAAGGCCTGGAGAAATACAAAGAGTTTAACCTGCAATGGAAAGGAGAGGAAAAATAATGCCAGGTTAATTTCTCTTGAAAGCACAATTCACAGATTTAATGGCAGAACAGAAAGGATTCTGCCTTTGTCACCTTCCCTGCTTTTGGGAGAAAAACTACCAGCTTCATGGTGTGTTGTCTTTTAAATATACCATTCCTAAGTAATTGAGGACTTACTAGGTTAAAACCAGCATTTTGGATTGTCTTCATCTGTTTTGCATACGTGCTGAAGGGATCTGAAGCCCAGTCTGCCATGTAATGCTGTGTGGGAATAACAACACACACAGGCTAATGCAAGGTATGCTACTTAATGCAGCTTGACCTCAGGTTAAAAAAAACACAGTGAAAAGTCTGAATCCTGCAACAAGATTCAGACATTTCCTGCTGTTGGGACAGTGGGGACTGCCATCCTGCATCTCCATACAGGATCTAGAATCAGATCCCGAAAGCCATCTTCTGTTCCTCGTACTCAGGCAGCTAAGGAAAATGGAATGCAGCCCCCCCCTCCCCCCCCCCCCCCCCCCCCCCGTGCCTCCGAATTCCTCCTCAAAACAACAGAAAACCCCCACTTCCCAGCACTAGCTGCTCTTTACTTTCTGATTTTTTTTGTCATTCAGGGAGCAAAGCAGCTTCAGAGGGGCGGGAGCTCATTCCTCCCAAGGTGCTTTGCTCCCTGAATGGTGAAAAATCAGGAAGTAAAGAGCCAAGCTACGCCAATAAGTGAGGCTTTTCTGTAGTTTATTTCCGGGGTGGAGTGGGGGTGCAGGGAGTGTGTAGAATGGAGCCCAATCCCAGCCTTGCTAAACTGGCTTCAGTACAGCTGTGTACTGTGGAGGTAGCTCAGGACAGTCTTGTTTGGCTCTAGTGCAGCTCAGAAACAGCATTATGTGCTGTTCCTGTGCAGAATGACCCCAAGGAGCATTAGAAGAGTAATAAGGTCCTTTTGAGGACATAAAAAACAGTCATTTGTTTGTATATAAGAGACGTGGCAGCTGGTATACAAATATTCTCAAAAGACATTTGAATTTATTAGTCCCTACCTGGACTGTTGATTGATCTCAGATTGATGTTTAATAGTTCTCATTTGGATACACTGATAAACAAAGTGAGCGTCTTAGTTTTTGTTATTGTAAATCAGTAAAGTTTGTGTGGTTTAAATGTGATTAAATCTATTTTTCTAATGTACCTAATTAGTATTTTATACTCGGTATAAGAATATCAAAAGGCTAAGTTGAACCTTTTAATTACAGGACTCTGATAAGACAGTTCCAAGAAGTACACCTGGAAGGTAGGTATACCTTGACATCTGGTGTTACGTTATGGTGTGCAATTTACCTCTTGAATATAAAGTTTGTATTTAAAGGGAGTCTTAAGAGGGAAGGGGCCTTAGCTCAGCTACATAGCATATGCTTTGCATGCAGAATGCCCCAGGTTGGATCCCAGAATTTCCATGTCAGGCTGCTGATGACTTCCTGCCTGAACCCCTGCTGGTCAGTGTTGACAATGCTGGGCTAGATGAGACTGAGTTCCATATAAAGCATGTTCTGTATAAATGCATGTGCTATGTTCTGTATGGCTGTAAAGAAGTAGCTTCAACAGACCAGAGAAGTAATTTAATCTTTGCTGAATTAGTGTTTAAGTATTCACTCATCAGAATATGGAGACTATTTTGTAATTATATTCATTCTTTCTTCTACCCTTTCTTTCCCCAGTACTTCTGAACCATCACAGCATGCAAGTGAAGGGGCAGACAACTCTAGGGATGACTCAAGCAGCCATAGTGGGTCTGAGAGTAGTTCTGGCTCTGATTCGGAAAGTGAAAGTAGTTCAAGTGACAGTGAAGCCAATGAACCATCACAGAGTGCATCCCCTGAGGTAGGTTTGTTTATACTGTAAGTGACCTTTCTAGGCCCTATGGTCTTCATAGTATTCATATGTATGAGCAGAGCAGAAGTGGCTTGAAGAAGTGGGCTATGCAGGTGCTAGAGATACCAGTATCTATCATCATTATCATGGGCGATCACATGTGGCCGAGTATCGGTGTCTTCCAAGGATAGAGCCTTGGTGATGGGTCCGTAAGTGACAGTAGAGATCTATTCTGGATCTGCATGGTCTTTCTCAGTGATTACATTGATTTCCAGATGGAAGGTGTTTCCTGACAAGGGTTTGCTTGATGCACCTTCCCCTGGAATGTTGCTCTCTTTTGCCCTCTATTCGTACCTCTTCATAGTTCATAGTACTGTTGATAACAGCTGACCTCCAATTAGAATGCTTGAGGGCCAGGGCTTCCCAGTTTTGGTTTTTATTCCACATTTTTACAGGTTAGCTTTAAATCTCTTTCGCTTTCCACTGACATTATGTCTTCCATTCTTGAGCTGAGAGCAATGTAATTGCTTTGGGAGACACTAATCAAACATTTGGACAATGCGGCCAGTATCAATCTATAAGTTCACTTAATGAACATACTTTTTGGCTTTAAATTTAGAGCATCTTGCTGAAAGTACCCTGGAATTCAGGGAAAGCCAACCAAAAGATGTAGTGTCATTCAATCTAATAACAAGCATAGTTGTCAGTAGGAAACTAGTTTCAAAGCATTGAGAAATAAGATAATGATTCCTACAACATATTCAGAGGACTTCCTGTCAATACATCTTGTTAGCCATGTAAATACAGGAAGTCCCCAAGTTACAAACAAGATTGGTTATGTAGGTTTGTTCTTAAGTTGAATTCATATGTAAATTGAAACAGGTACATGATTTTGAAAAATTGGCTTGTTGTGGAAACAAGGATTGGTGATAAAGCTTCAGTTGTGACATTTTCCCCCCATGATAACTTCTTTAGGAGTGATTTTCCCTTCCTAGGAGTAGATTTCCTCTCCCTGTTATTCTTAACCTCATTCTTAATTATGAGTTGTTTGTAAGTTAGATGTTTGTAACTTGGGGACTGCCTGTATACAAAATATGTTGAAAACTAAACACATTGAAAGAAACCATGACGTACTGTGGAACTTCCAAGAACCTGTGTCTTTGCTGCTGCCTTTTCATGGAGTGGGGTGAAGTGGGTATTAATGGCTCAGTCACAGCTGTGCTAGAATTCTGGATTTCTCCATTGTTTTGTGGGCATCATTTTATTTCTGTCTTCAGTGAGGAGGGAAAGGGGTTTGAAGGAACCTGAAATCATACTGACTTTGAATTGGCCATAAATTCATCAGCTGAAACATGTATATTTAGACTGCATTTGGGGAGCATGTTGGAGCAGGTTTGATTGCTCATGTTTACACCATAATATTTTGTAATAATTGTTCTAGAAAGAAGATTAGAATTGAGAGCTATATGAAGTTTCCTCCTACGTTTGTCTTTCTGTATCTCAGGAATAAAAAAAGGAAATACAATACCTTTCTGTCTCACATACTAGAACATTCAGTCATCTCTCTGCACATCAAATAACTTGTTCTGGTTGAAGGCAGATGGGCAACCAAACATGTGAGCAGCAAAACAAGATTAACTGTTTCAGGTGCCAGGTTAAGAAAGCCTAGTACATTTTGGCAACCCTCCTGATCTTTTTTATATGAGGTCTAACTGAGAGAAGGTACATACTTTGAAATTAACATTGCTTCTGTGCTGTGTTAGCTGTGGAGGACTGAGGAACATTCCCACTATCTCAAATCTGAAAGGCTATGACAAAAATGTTCCTACTTACTCTTTGCAGGGTTGGAAAATGTTACTCTTTTGGACTATGGCTTCTCATGTATCCTATGCTGGCTATGGGATTCACTGAGTTGTTGTCTAAAGAGTTGTAGCTCAGTAGCTACCGAGAAGGTGAAAGAAATGTGGTGACGTGTTCATTTCAGATTTCCATTTTTTCTTTCTTTAGCCTGAGCCACCTCCTACAAACAAGTGGCAGCTTGACAACTGGCTGAATAAGGTGAATCCCCACAAAGTGTCTCCAGCTTCCTCTGTGGACAGTAACATCCCATCAACACAAGGCTACAAAAAAGAGGGTAGAGACTCAAGTGCCGGGGGTGGGTATGCCGATCAAAGTGGTTCTAAAGACTCAATTTCTTCCATTTCTGGGAGAGATTCAAAAACTAGCCAGAAAGGTTCAGAGAGCAACCGTGGCAGACAAAAGTCACCTGCTCAGAGTGAAAGCATGACACAGAGGAGGACTGTAGGTAAAAAGCAACCCAAAAAGACAGAAAAACCATCTGTGGAAGAGCCTAGAGGAGGGCTGAAAATAGAAAGTGAAACCCCAATGGAAATGACAACAAGTATACCCTCAAACAGGCACAAGGCTGCCACAAAAGGCTCCAGAAAGCCAAATATAAAGAAGGAGCCCAAATCCTCCCCTCGGCCTACAACAGAGAAAAAGAAATGCAAGGTTGCGAGCAAGTCCACTCAGAAATCTAAGGAATTCATTGAAACTGACACCTCATCCTCTGACTCTGATGAGAATGAGAGCCTCCCTCCTTCATCACAAACCCCCAAATATTCTGAGAGCAATAGGACTCCTGTTAAGCCCTCCATGGAGGAGGATGACAGCTTTTTGAGGCAAAGAATGTTCTCTCCTATGGAAGAGAAGGAACTCCTATCTCCGCTCAGTGATCCTGATGAAAGGTATCCCCTTATTGTGAAGATTGACCTGAGTCTGTTAACTAGAATACCAGGGAAGCCTTACAAAGACACAGACCCTTCAAAAGCTGAGAGGAAAAATGTGTCCGAGAAGCACCCAAGGGAGCCTCAGAAAACATCTTCTGCTGAGAAAAGTTCCAATAAGGGCAAGAGGAAACATAAGCTATGTCAGGTTAGTCTTCAGTCTCAAATGTTGTTCTTATTATCTAAATGCAGGATCCTTAAAGTAGTCTCTAAATCAGGTGGTTTTTTTGTATTATTCCAGGACAACCAACTGTTGTTGAAAACAGATGAGAGCTAAATTAGTATTCTTAATTTTGACAGAGTACATGTGCACAGGCACATAATTGAGAATGTTTGTTCCATTCTCCTTTGTGAAGTACATTTGAAATAAGATGATATTGCTATTTATTCTAATTTGATTGATGATTTCATGCTCATATTGCCACTGTAGTCTGAGTTCTTAATGATGAATATTGCCAGTTGTAGTTCAGTCAGTAGCCTGACAAAAACATATGTTGGTACTTGCCTTATATTAATCATATGGATAATTCATCTTTATGCTCAATTAGAGTCCTAAAGTTGTCAAGTGACACCTATTTCCATAGATGGGTTTAAATGTACATAGTACTATATTGGTAAGGAAATGGGAGAAATGGTCAGGCTGGTTGGGCTTGTGTTGGACTGCTTGTGCCTGGCTGTACCTGTTTCGGTGGAGTAAATGGATGGATGGATTTTCTGTTGCTTGTTTCTCATATGCCCGCAAAGTCAGATCCCCTGCTGATAATGAGGCTTGTACTGTAATGGCTTTCATGAATGAGCATTTTGCCCCATGTTTCAGTGTCTGTTGTCACACCAGACATTCTGTAGTATGCTGGTGATGTGTTCCCCCCACCACCACCACTATGTCCTTGATCATATAACACAGTGTGGTGTTCATACAATAGTTCAAAGGTCACAAACTTTTTAAGCAGAGGGATGGTTCATGTTTCTCAGACTGTGTTTGAAAAAAAAAACCATGAACAAATTCCTGTGAACATGGCACATGTCTTATTTGTACTTTAATACATTGAAAGAACAATACAACATTTAAAATGAAGAATAATTTTAACCAACATAAACTTATCAGTATTTCAGTGGAAAGTGGGGGCCTGCTTTTGGCTAACAAGATTGTCAGGTTAGTTAGGGTTGTTGTTCTGTCCCTTTAAGTCGTTTCAGACTTAAGGTAACACTAAGTCTAAAGTTTAGGGGGGGGGCAGGTAAATGGCCTTGGAGGCCATTAGTTTGCAGACTTAGTTTGGGGGGCCCTGCAATGGCTCAAAGTAGACCTTCATGGCATAGTGATGATGAGGAGCAGGCAGGGATAGGACAAGCATAAATGAAAAAACAGTATAGTCTGGTCTTGTTGCTCACAATTTAAACCTTCAGTTTCTTATATGGTTCAGTCAATTTTCTCATGGCAGCCTAGCAAAAATGATTTTTTGTCTATTTTACTAGTCTACTAGTACTGAATTCTGTATGCTGGATTGTCAGCATGGGTTGCGAAGTTCAGGTTTCTAGTTTTTATCTGTAATGTAAAACAGTCTGATGTCAGTTAAATATTTTTTTGTTTATTGTGTTTTCTTGCATCTTTGTGATTTGATGTTTGTTTTATCTGAATTGATGAAATATTGAATCTGAATTGATCCAATAAAGTGAGTCTATGTGTCTTGGGTTAGCCATAGTTTTGCCTGAATTTCATAGGTTCCTTGAATATCTTGGCTCATGCATAAGCGTATAATCAGAATTTTCTGGTTTTCATTAAATTTAGCTGATCAGAAGCTTCCTGGTTTGATTGCTCATGTTACAAAATGATTGCAAGTGCTTACAAAATCTCATTTGTATTTTAAGTTATGAAACCAAAATTTGATGATCCGAATCAGATCAGGCCTTGGTTTGATTAATGAATGCATTATAATTATGCAGTTGTTTTTTCAAGCTTTAAAATTTACACATTTAACTGAAAAAGCCACTGTTACTTTTGACTATTTTTGCCATTACAATTGTTCCTGTACTGCAAGTGAGAGTTTTGAGGTTGAGTTTTAGACTATTCAGTAGGCTGTTTGCTTAAACTAGATCAGAACTTCTGTGACTGTATGCACAATGCAGGATTGCCCATTTCCCAACATTCAGTAACAGTATAAAGTACAGTTTTATTGTAAAGTATAAAGTATAAAGTACAGTTTTATTGTACTTTATTGTACTATTTTAATATGTAATGACTTTGCACTTTGTTGTACTTATATATTATTGTACTTTCATATATGCTGTAAACCGACCTGAGTCCCTCGTTGAGGTGAGAAGGCCGGTATAGAAAACTTATAAAATAAAATAAAATAAAATAAAATAAAATAAAAATGGCACTCATGCACATACAGAGGTATAAATGCAGGCTCATCCTTGATTGGAAATACCTCAATTGTACATACATAGGCTTTTCTTTGTAGGTACTGTGCTGAATTCCTGGATGTTGGAGAAAGAACTTTACCAGTAAAATGTGTGGTGCCCACAGTTGGGGCACCAGGTGGAACTTCTACTCTATCCTCACTGTCTAGAGCAGAGGTGTCAAACATGTGGTTCTCCATATATTTGGGCCTCCATCTCTCAGAAGCCCTAGCCAGCTTGTCCAAAGGCCAGGGATTCTGGGAGCTGAAGTCCAAAACACCTAGAGGAATACAAGTTTGACACCACTGGTCAAGAGTAAATGTGTTTGGAAGTTGTAACCATAAAGGACCGTAGTCTCAGCCATTAGTCTATACCAGGGGTCCTTAAACTAAGGCCCGGGGGCCGGATACGGCCCTCCAGGGTTATTTACCCGGCCCTCGCTCAGGGTCAACCTAAGTCTGAAATGACTTGAAAGCAAACAACAAAAACAACAACAACAATCCTATCTCATCAGCCAAAAGCAGGTCCACATTTACCATTGAAATACTAATAAGTTTATATTTGTTAAAATTGTTCTTCATTTTTATTATTGTATTGTTTTTAAGTGGGTTTTTTTTGCACTATAAATAAGATATGTGCAGTGTGCATAGGAATTCATTCATGTTTTTTCAAATTATAATCTGGCCCTCCAACAGTTTGAGGGACTGTGACCTGGCCCTCTGTTTAAAAAGTTTGAGGACCCCTGGTCTATACAGTGCACATGTGCAAGCACCTACACAGTACCCTACTTCTAAAATTGCTTGCCAAACTTCAGATCAAGTACCCATAGCAGCATCCCTTTATCTTAATTTCATTTTCATTACATGACTTACTTGTTCCTTCATCTGACACCATTCACAGTATTTGTACCAAATTAACAGACACAGAAGAATAATATTGTGCTTCTATGGTTATCAGAAGGCATGCTTTATAAAAAGGATGTTTATAATGTATTACTGCGTTCATATCTAAAAACAGTGTTCAAAGCAGTTAATAATAGACAATTAAAAAGTGTTGTAAACTGAAAGACAAAACCCCATTGACGATTACCTGAAGTCACATATCTATTTATTCTCTTCTCCCCCATTCCCCTCTTTTCTTTTCTTTCTTTTTATTTGTTTTTAAATATTTTCCTCCTTTCTTTTTCTTTTCTTTTTCTTTCCTAAGCTTTATTTTAAAATGATGTATGCAAAAACCACAATAAAGAGTACTTTAAAAAAGCAGATATTCTAGGTTATCTTCTTTGATGATCTGGACTATATGGCAGTGTAAAAAAGCATTGTAAACAATAAAACATAAAATAACCATGGTCATAACACAGGTTTGAAAGGCAAGATTGATAGATGTGTCTTCACAACCTTAAAATCAGTGGAATGGGACCTAATTTCCAAGTGAAACACATCCCACAATTTGGAAGCAGCACAGGATACAGAATGTGTTTGTGTCTTTTGCAGTACTTATTAACTAATATAGTAAATAGTGATAAATCCCCATCTGTTTTAGCAGGACCATTTACTAAGGCTTTCCTGTCAACATGACAAGACCAGTTGCTGTTTTGACAATTGAGTAGTAAACCGAGCAGTCAAGTTTTTGCATTTATTAAACTTTTAAAGTTTAACTGTAACTGGTAGTAATATGGAGCATGCAGTGTACTTATGTCTTCTGTTGCCATTGATAAATCCTGCTGCCAGAAACAATTAGTGTTACATTTCAAATGAACACCCGAACCAGTCATTTTAAATGTAAACTGCATAATGTTTACTTATGTTTTAGTTAACAATGTCTTACCGGATTGTTTTGTTTTATTTTTATCACAATGCTTAATTCTTCGTCATAAGATCACAGTTATTACTGTTGCTTTATTGTGGGTTTTTGTATACGTTTGTACTTACCTGAGGCATTGAAAGCTTGTCTTTGTGTGTATGTAAACTACCCTGAGTCCCTTCTGAGAGAGAGGGTGGTCTAGAAATAAAATGTTATTGTTATTTATTTATTTATTATCCAGCTAATGTTTTTATTGTTTACTCTTTAGTGCTGTGAATAATTTTTAAAATCATGGCAGTAGACTACAAAATATTACTGCAGTCACTGTGGAATCATCAGAAATTGTTCCAGTGGTTCTTATATGGTTGCTCTGTTTTAGAATGCAGAAGAAAGCCGAGGCACTGAAAGCAAGAAAAGTAAAATAGAAGAAAAGCCTGCTTCTGTGCACAAAACTTCCAGTAATAGAGAGTAAGTACGTTCTATAACATCTAAGTGAAAAAGTGTGCTGGAAGAGATTTTTCCAGCGTCATGGAGCTTTTCCACACGGCATTTCAAACACAAGGCGGTCTCATGTAGAGGTGATGAAAACCATTGCAGATTGGCAGACATTTTAAAAAAATTAATTTGGGGTTGCAGTGGGAATTCTTGGAATGGGATATTAGAAATAAAATGTATGTTTCTTATAAACAGCCATCCTGAAGTGTACCCATCACATGTTTAACACTGGTTCCGGTCCAGTGTATATGTCCGAACGTATCTCCCGCTACGTCCCACCTCGGAGCTTGAGATCATCTGGGGAGGCCCTGCTCTCGACCCTACCACTCTCACAAGTGAGGCTGGTGGGGACGAGGAGCAGGGCTTTCTCAGTGGTGGCCCCTCGCCTGTGGAACTCACTCCCCGGGGAAATCAGAGCATCACCATCCCTCCTCTCCTTCAGGAGGAGGGTGAAGACTTGGTTATGGGACCAGGCCTTTGGGCAACCAGGCAATTAAAGACCAGCAGGTTGACGAAATGGTATTAAAAGTGGATCTATGAGACAGCAAACACTGACAATGTAAGGGAGGAATTTAGGTTTGTATTGATTTTATTGATTTTATTGATTTTTACTGGAATAATGCATGAAGCTGCTAGTAACTGTGAATTTTATTGTAAATTGTGATGATTGTTGTGATGTTGGCATCTAACCGTGCCTTTACTGTGTAAGCCGCCCTGGGTCCCCTTCGGGGTGAGAAGGGCGGGGTAAAAGAACCCCAAATAATAATAATAATAATAAATTGAATTGTTTTGATTCTGTTAAGGTAATAGATGAGAAAAACATCACCAGATGTGTGGGCATATGTGCACCTAGGTTTCAGGGAAGGTATTTTCTTGTTTTGGGATTCCAGACATATTGCTTGTGGTTTTATTTATTTATTTATTTATTTATTTTGGAGTCTTAGACTTAGTCTTATACTTAGTTTGTCTGTTTTTTTAGATTTAAAAATTTACCTTTTTATTGTTTTTATATGACTGGTATCTGTTTTATGAATGTTCCTCCACAAGTCATCCTGTGATGGCACCCACAACATGATGTCAAAGTCTGAAATAAGCACACAAACCGAAAAATTACATTGGGATTGTGACTAGTTTATAGCCACTGTCATTCAGAGGTGAAACTGTCGCCACACTATTTAATACATCTGAATTGGTTGCCAGGGCCAGAGAGGGGTGACCCAGGTTTGGATTTAACCCAAAGTCATTCATTTGGCTATCCTAGATACGTAATACAATGAACTTTTGACAATATGTTATTTGAACCATACCTTTTCTCCTTTTCAAAGTGAAATATACAATAATTTAGCAGCTGGTGAATGCAAAGAATGAAAATCTCTTTCACATATAAGTCTGACTGGGATGATTTTTGTTTTGGGGGAGCAGGTCATCTAAACAGAGTGCTGTTAAAGAGAAGGATCTTCTCCCATCTCCAGCCAGCACACCAGTCACCCAAAAAGATTCAAAGCAAGAGCATGGGTCTCGCAAGAGAACGGTCAGTCAGTCATCTTCTTTGAAATCAAGCAGTAACAGTAATAAGGAGAGCAACAACAGCAGTAAAGGTAGCTCATCTAAACAAAAGAAGACTGAAGGGAAGACTTCAAGTAATACTAAAGAATCAAAGGTAAGGAGGTACTTTTAACATGATTTCCCCTTCCAGCTCGATTTTTCATCAAGTTGGAAGGGATCAAAAGGCCACCAGGTCCAGCTCCGACTCTGTAGAATACATAATTTAATCAGTTCTGTTTAAAGACCTGCAAAGAAGGAATGTCCACCACCCTCTGACACAGTTTATTCCATGGTGGACGGGGGAGCAAAAAACCCAAACAAAAACCTTGGTCCTATCTTTGTTTATGTCAGTATTTTGTTGTCATTTTTGTGAAGCTAGTGATATAAGGCTTTTTATTATCCCATTTGCGGAGTAAAATAGGAGAGCTCGATCACACTAATTTGTCTCAAACCTTATGATGTATGGATCAGCTTGCTTTACACCCCTTGATATTTGTTAATGCATCACATATGTCTTAGGGAAAAAAGAAAGAACGAGTGTGTACAGCTGTACAAACAAGCCCTCCCAGGCAGTCTGGAACCCAGTGTTATTAGGGTTCCAAATACATTGATGCGACTGCCTGTACTTGCAAAGATTTTACCCTACAGGCATTCATGTTAAACACAGAGATGTAAAAAATAAAGCAAACTAAAATATAGGGTGCAGGAGTATATGTGGCCTCACTCACCTGATGAGCTTTTAAATTAAAATACGGTTATAAACTGACAGCATAGGATTTTCCTGATTGTTTGTAAGTCTATATGGTTCAGAAGATCAGTTCAGTTAATAAAGTGAAATTGAAATCAAGACTAACTTTATGTTGATAACACATTTGGTGTGTTAGATTCTAGTAACTTCATGAGATCAAAAGATAGAAATCATCCTGAATTTCAAAAGCATCTGTTCATCAGTGAGGAATTTTTCATTAATCAGAAAGTTTTCCTCCTAGATGAATTGGAAAGAAAGAAAGAAAGTCATTTATGCCTGGGGCAAAACTGTGTAGAAACTAGGACAGTGGGAGGATCTCAGGAAGTAAACAAGTAGCCAAACCTTTCACCAAGAAATGCGGCTTCAACTTCTCGGAATCTAGGATTTTTATGAGCCAAGTAAAGTTAGCTAGAGCAGTTCCTTCATGAGGAGATTTTATACACAGGACAGAAGTTAATTCAGGCAGATTTATGTAAAATCACTACATTGAATCATGCTCAGACCACTTTTTAATTAAAGGTAATTAGTATGTCCCCATAGTTCTGTTGGGTTTTAATAATTCTCCTGACATGTGTAATCTTGTCATGTTTCTATTAAAACAGTTCTCTAGTCATTTCAGTTCCAGGGTGGAAATCTTTACCTACTACTAAAGACTAATGCAGAATATGATTTCCCTGTTTTTCAAAGTTCTCTAGGGCTGTTTCAGATGGAAAGCCCGAGCACTGTATTTAATTATGTGGCTGGGGGAAGGGGAGGACTATAAGTAGAACAGGGAAAGATTTGTATTCAACTGTGATGAGGAAAGTCACAAACTTGGGAGGACCAAAGAGGCATTAAAATCTCAGTGGTGAAGTTGGCAAATTACATCTGCATGTTAGCCGTTATCAGCGGGGGGGACGGGGGGGACGGGACACACACAAGATAATTAGAAGAGGATAGGGATAAATTCTAGTCACTAGAGAGAGCTTTTCAGAAAGCCAGGTATAAGGATGGTGGCCAGGTTAAAAATTTGGCCTAGAGTTATTTTGCATTTTTGTTTTGTAGCTTATTTTGAAAGAAATAATTACACTGAACGTGGAGAGTAAAATGCCTTTTGATTGTGTGCTGTGCAGTTGAATAATGGCACTATTCAACCTCCACTCAGGCATCTGGCTGCAATTTGATCTTCCTTGCTTAGCTCTACAGCAGGGAACAGCATAGGTTGGAACAGTACTGCCACTGGAAACCTGTCAAGATCTCTAAAGCGTGCCAATTTAGGTATTAACTAAGTACACAAAACTGTAACACGTGGTCTCTAATTAAAGATCTTCCCTGTTCTGTATTTTGAATAAGTAGTTATCAGTATGGCAGCAACTGTGTTTGTTAAGTTATGTGTGTGGTAGTCTTGAATAATGATACACATCTGGGTTGTAGCCTTATAGTCTAAATTCAGGAAGTGAAAAGCACTGTGAGCATTTGCTTTCCAAGAATTGTTATCTTAACTAATAGGGATTGTTTTTTTTTCCCTCAAGGAAAAGGCTTTAAATAATTCTTCCAGCTGCCCTTCTGCCTCTACCACAACTGCAGATAGTTCAAAGTCTCGCAGAGCAAAGATGGTATTTGATGACAGGTGAGAAGAAAAATGGAAACCAAGCAAATTGGTCTAGTACACATTTCTACTAACATCTCTCTGTAGCTCACTTTTTTTAAGGGGGGTGATTTGGATCTGAGGCTAGGGGAAAGGTAAATTGATTGATTCATAATTTGCTTTTTCTGATATGATCATTTGAGTGCCTGTGTACTGTTTATCTGAAGGGTTTTTTTAAAAATGGGTGTTTTTTTGTGATGTTTTAAATCTCTCTCCAATAAATGCATTATTTTCTATCATTAGAGAGGGACTTTTACCTTGAGTACAAGCTAATATGTTAGTATGGCCTCATGGCATCATAGCTGAAATACATCACTCAATTTTAAGGGGGTTAATTCTGCTCTGTGACAATCTGGATTGTTTTAAATTTTTAAATGATCAAAGTATACCTGGAGGTATTGAGTTGCCTTTGGGCTGAAAAGGGTGGGATAAAAATGATGTAAATAAATAATAAATAAATTGTGGGACAGTTTTTCTTTTTGGTTCCCTGGAGTGCTTTTGACTTAGGAAAATTCTGGATCTGGGTCCAAATCTTAAACAGCTGGGAAGATTAAAAAATTGTGGGGTAGGGATCTGCATGGGCCTATGGAATTCATTCCCTACTACTGCGTTAATGTAACTGTCATTTCTATTGTTCGTTTCAGAACATATTCAGCAGATCACTACTTACAACAGGCAAAGAAGTTGAAGCATAATGCTGATGCATTGGTAAGGAGAAGTCTATTCATGGTCTGCTGGTGGTGTTGCTTGTTGTCCTGCCTTGACATATTCCTTTTAAAACTATTTCTCTTGACTGCAGCAAACCTCCCATGTAATCCTGGTTTGGTTTTCAAAAGTGTTTTTGTTTCTTCAGTCTGACAGATTTGAGAAAGCTGTGTACTACCTTGATGCCGTGGTGTCGTTCATTGAGTGTGGGAATGCATTGGAGAAAAATGCTCAGGAATCAAAGTCCCCATTCCCCATGTATTCCGAAACTGTGGAGTTGATCAAGTAAGTGATGCAGGACAAGCAAAAATGTGGTATTTTTAACTGTTAGGTTAAAAAAAATAATAGTAATCTCCTGTGTGAAGTGATGGCCTCCTCCTCCTCCTCTTCCTTTATATCCCATCTGAAGATGGGACTCAAAACAGCTAATTACATGGGGTTAAAAAACCAAAATCAGAATAAAAGTATAAATATACAATTAAACAGTATTTTAAAAATTACATAGAAACTACACCATATTAACAGCCCAACCCTCATCAGTTTGTAATGCTTTGGTGGAACAAATGTTTTTCCTTGTTGCCAGAAAAAGGAGCAAGGATGTGGCCTTTCTAGGGAGGGATTTTGAAAGTCTTGAAGCTTGAAGGCAGCCTTTTTGTCTTCTCAGTTGTGGGCTCATAAAGGGAGACACCCTCTTTTTAAAACACCTCAAGACACATATTGGTCAGACATGTTCTTGATATGCTTTATTATTGGAATAATAGCAAGCTTTTTGGTGAACTGTATTATATATGTAGTCCACACCTAAAAGGCATTACAGCACTTTCCACAAATGGAAAACGAATAACAACTGGAGTCTGTACTTCTCAATTGTTTACTATTTTTTATTGTTGCAGGTACACTATGAAACTGAAGAATTACTCTGCACCAGATGCAACATCTGCAGACAAAAGGCTAGCAGTACTATGGTAAATATACACTGTGTTTAATTAGCAGGAGTAAAATAGCTAAAGGCAGAATCTGTCTGTGCAAACCTTTTTAATGGAATAGACAGTAAAAAATAAAACATAGCTTACTATGTAGCACAGTGTTGTGCCTCCTTCTGAGATATCAGCAGGATTGAGAGCCTTTCGGGAGGTGCTCAGTATAGATACAGCTCATTTAGAGCTGCCTGAGCTGTTCTTGTTGAACACTCAGCCATTCTAGATAAGGCTGGCAGCAACCACCCTTGCTTTCTTGATATCTCAGAGGGAGTCATCATACTCAGTCCTTAAGGGATTGCTGGCCTTGGAGCCAAATCTGCCCCTCTAAGATCCTAGTTCAGCCCCTGAGGCTTTTGTAGATTATTGTCCTCCCATGACACTGTCACTTGATCACTTCCTAGCTTTGTACAGATTTTTTTTCATTCTAAATTGAAAAGCTTCTCCAAAAGCTTTGTTACTGGCAATACATGCTTCAAAGGATTTCCCAATCCTACCCAGCTAGGTTGAGGAATGGGGAAACTGCAGTGGGGAGGGGGATTACTCTTCTTCTGGCTCCACTAGAAGCAGTTCTTTCATAAGCAGAAGTCCACCAATAGATTCTGTTCAAATTGTTTGGGGGTTTTTTTTGTATCAGAATTTTGTGAAATAATGATAAAGGATGACTTTAATCTTCATTGAAATTAGCCCTGATCTCTAGTACTCTTTAACTATTTTAAAACCATAGTGAAAATGCATTGCTTGTTTGCCAGAGTAAATACTGATTTTTTTTCTTGGTCTGTTATTTCTAATATTGTATAATAACAGTGTTTTTGTTTCAATATAGTCTTAGATGCCAGTCCCTGTTGTACTTAAGACTTTTCAAACTGAAGAAAGAAAGTGCATTAAAATATTCCAAGACACTAACTGAACATTTGAAGGTAAATAGTTTAAGTGTGTTTAAACAAAAACATCCCAGTAATGTTAAGTATGGCTGGATTATAGATTTTGCTCTCTGTTGACCTGTATTTCATATTCTCTGGCTTCTTACCTCATGAAATAATAGGGACTCATGAAAATGGGGCTCCTTGCATATAAAGAAACTACAGTGAGAACAATCTCACTGAGGCCACTTTCTCCCCTTACCCACCCCCAGGTCTTCAAGGTGCTATCACCACTACCCAAACTCACCATTTTCTTTCTCATTGGCATGACCGCATAGGGAACAGCAAGAGGGGTAAGGACAAATGGGGAAGGAGAGTCACGGTTAACCAGGTCTCGCTGGCACATGATTAAACAGTCATTTTTTGGGATATCTGGAGGATCCCTGGGAGATCTGGAGGATGCCTACATTATTGTGCAACCTTGTAGGAGCTCCTAATGGGTGATCCCCTTCACGTGGCTGGCCACTCACCGTCTTCCTTCTGATTCACACCATGGCTGTGTTGGTGGTAGGGGACAAAAGACTATATATATACCTGAGCAAGGTTTTTCTTCCATTGAATATGATAGCTATCAATAGTCAATTGTCTTGCTTTCTACTGAGCACTACCTGGCTTTGCTGGTAGGGGAGCAGGGAGGATGGTCAATCAAGAGTGTAGGAGGGAAGTTTTTGGGAGAGCTTCCTTTCCTTATGAGAAAATCAAAACTGCACAGTTATCAAATACATCATTGCAGTGAAGTGATTTCGGTTTAAATTGCTCAGTCCCTGCTGTAGGAACAAATATTTGAAACAAGCTATCAGTGTTTTTAATTTCTAAATCAAATCTTTTACTGATATAAATTATACCCATTGTCACTTAACAAGACTTTGTTCCATGGAATTAATATAGTGGCAAAGCAATTTATTGTTCATTTTGCCATTTTGTGTCCTTGTGTTTTATAAACAGTAGAATTTGAAATTTGAGACATCTCTAAATTGGGGGAGTGTGCTGATCAATGTAGTTAAGTTATTATGCACGGATAATCCCTTCCCAATTTATCACTTACCTGCTAGCAAAAAAAAAAATCACTTCATTATATAAAGTATATATTGACTCCTACTTAACAGGAGGTCATTGTGAATTTAGCTTATTGATCACTCACATGTTTTCCATTGTTTTTGATAATAGTTTTATATAACTTTAAACCAGATGTGGCCAGTTTATGGTTCCAATAGCAATAAACTGCAGTGCAAAAAGAAAGAAATCCCATTCATGTGTCACTACTTAATCACACAATTATTCCTAAAAGTAATTATAGTTGACAATGCCCATTGCTTCAGTTTTGTCTGAATCCAAGGTCCATCATTGCTCAAACTCCTAGTAATGCTGTTTTTGTACTTTTAATGGTACCGTTTACAATTTATATTTAATCATTATTTATTGTGATTAATTTCCCCCTAAACAGAATTCCTACAATAATTCTCAAGCCCCATCACCTGGTATAGGAAGGTAAGCATTTATTCAATCAGTGCAGAATTACAATGTGACAAATAAATAAATACATATTTTGCCCTTGGGTATGATTAAAAAGAGGTCCAATTGTGAATTTCTAACACCCAAAAAGTGGCGATTCTGTGTCATTCTCTCTGTCTTTCAACAATCAATCCAGGCTCTTGTAAATTGTAAAGATTCAGACCTCTGTTGGCAGTTTGTTTAATTTACTTCATTTATTAAATTGTTATAGAATCGATATTTTCATTTGAGTAATACTTCAGCAAAGGTTTTAATGCAGCATCATTCAAACTGCTATTCTACAGACTTTTAATGGAAAAGCACTTAATATTGAATTTACACGTTTATATTGTATGCTAGAAGTCTGGTAGCATTTGTAGCACATACAGGAGTTATTTACATTTGAAGTAATACCTTCATATTTGTGAACCAATCTTCCTCCAAAATGTCGATGTATTTCTCAGAATAAATACATTCTTTAATAAACAAGATTCAGTCACCCCTCCACCAGGTCATTCAAATGTCAGTGGATGCTCAGATTTTATTGTCCACATGACCTCAGTGCAGTCAGTTCTGATATGCAGTTTTCATATTGTATAACAACACCTGTAACTACTTCTTCAAAATTTTATATGCATGGTAGCAATCTAAAACGTGTGATCTTTATTTCTTGCTAGCAAACCTGTCAGCATGCCATCTCCAGTCTCCCCAAAGTTATCTCCAGGAAATTCAGGAAATTACTCTTCAGGGTCAACCAACCCTTCAGGGAGCACATCTTCAGTAACTATTCCACAGAGGATACACCAGATGGCAGCCAGTTATGTTCAAGTTACTTCCAATTTCCTGTATGCCACTGAAATTTGGGACCAAGCTGATCAGCTTGCAAGAGAGCAAAAGGGTAAGACTGTACTGGGTTAATAAGGGTCAGGTCAGTAACATGCATAATAAATGGGTTTATTCTACATGAGTGGGACTAATAGATGTACACATTTATTCATCATAGCTACAGTTGCAGAGCAGCTTTCTAGATACCTGTGCAAAAGGGATAAGATGTTTAATACACCATTATTAAACTTTTTACATGGGTGGCTTATTTTAAATAGTAGTAGAAGACTCAGTGAAACACTGCATGGGCACTTAATACACATTAGATTATGCTATGATGTAAATGAATAGCTGCTTTGAATTGTGAAGATATGGATTTTTGGTTATGAGACATAATTTTTTGTGGATGAGACAGTGTATCAATTCCCATTTCTTAGAAAGTTTGCTGGGGGGGGGGCACAATTTTTCCATTTGTGAGTGTCATTTTTTTAAATTATGGAACCAAAACTAAAATTCTTTAAGAATAGTATCTACTTGTGTATGATCCATTTAGTTTAAGGAAGTCCCATACAACCCTCCCCTATACTAACAAAGCAACAATCAATCTGATGGATGATATTAAAAAAAATTGGCAGAAATGACAGTCTTATTTCCCTCTCCCTTTGCACCTTAGGCACTCAGGGATAATTTTGTCATTTGCCACAATATGGGATATTTAAACAAGACTCTCCAGTTCTAAGCTAGAAATACAATTTAGATAATGCCTGCTTATTTATTTTGTATCAAAAGCATTGCACCAATAAATATAAAACTGATAAAAATATGTGCACAAGCGACTAAATAATATTTCACCAAAAACGGGCAACAGCGACCGCATTGTCTGTAGCTTTAAACAATTCTTCCTTTGTACATGAGGCAGGACATTGTGGACAAGCATACAGATACGGATTTGTTTGTTCTGTTCCACAGTCACACAAGGTGGAGGATTCTTTTAGGTAGTCGCAGGTTGTCTTTTGATCTCCCCAGTCCGCTTCTGAAACTGTTCAGGGACTTCCAAGTTCCCCTGGAGGAAGACCCTTGTGGGGGGCCTTGCAATTGGGATTTCCTGCTTTAGCTGCCCAGAGGGAGACTCTTGCTGTTGCTGGGGTAATGTTAAGAGGAGTGATGATTCTCATGAAGCTTTCCCTTGATTTGAGTCTACTCGGAGGAGGCTGATAGCCATGCAGTAGATGGCTTTCACAGTGTTCAACCTTATTTTTCTCACAGTTAGCAGCAACTTCCTGTCACACATCAGGGGAGGGGGTGTGTGGCAATGCCAGCTTGCCTGGTAGTGCTCATTGTTGCTAAGAAAGAGTTTGTCTCTTACTGTTTCTCCCATTTTCAAGTTTCCACTTTGGGTGAAAGTTCAGCATAAAAATAGCACCACAGTTAGAAAATTAATATTTGGTAAAGAATTAATTTAATCCTAAGAGAAATCCTGTAGGAAAAACATGCATGTCAGTTTGGTTATTTCTTCTTTTTTTGTAGAGTTCTTCACTGAGCTGGATAAAGTTATGGGCCCTCTGATCTTTAATGCAAGTGTCATGACAGACCTAGTGCGTTACACCAGACAGGGACTACATTGGTTGCGCTTGGATGCCAAGTGATGAAAGAAAGAACTGAAGACACATAATAGAAGACAACTTTTCTTGCTGCCTCTGATTTTTTTCAACACTGTGTCATAAAAAATAAGGAAGTCTGCCATAATGCATTGCTTAGTGAACGCTCAAGATTGAGGAAGGCTTTCATACGTCTCCCAGCATCATGTATGTGAGAACCTCCAAATCATCATGTTAATGAACCTTTTTTTTCAGTTGCCCCATTTTTAAGATATTTAAGAATAGTTTAAACTCTGCAATGTTTTAATGTAAGATGGATTCATTAAGCTGCAATTGGGTTGGAAATCTAGTAATTATGTCTAAAAAATCTTTTTTAAAAAATTATTTATTTCAATTTGTTTTTGTTTTTTCAAACTCTATTTTGGGTCTGTTTTAAGATTTAGATGTTTTTCCTATAAATTTTACCCGATCAAGTTCTTAGCGAATATTAAATGTAGACACTTTATTTGTATTTTGTGGGTTCTTACTCTGTAATGTCTTGTGATGGTAGAGCTTTTTAGAGAAAGTCAGGGTTGGTAGATTCTAAAGTGTAGGAAGATACTATCATGAGTATCTGTGTCAACCCCTAAATGACAGCCACAGTTTTACTGTTGTACTCAGTTCCAAGACTGTATGGAAAGTCAGCTTCAGAACATATGTCTTAACACTAACAATCTCAAAACATTATTTAAAGTTGCATTCAATGCAGTATCAAAAAAGTGGGTCACAAGGAGTGTCTGCTTCCACATGTAATCTATGAATAGTGTCAAATGGACAATCGTGTGCTTTGATTCAGTGTCTTTGATTCAGTGTTGCTTGTTATTGTTGGACACTGAAGCCCCTAAACTGAACTCATGTCCAAAATTTGATGTGCTTAATCACAAAATGTGTGTAGAAGGTAACATCTGTGCTTCCTTTCTGATAGGATTATGTGGTATAGATTAGACCTGTGATTTACAGGGAGGTGTTTAAACTGCGTTGTCCAGTTAATTTGAAACCATGCTTTTATGCCAGTTTATGGCATCTTCATTTCTATTAATTATTTGCAATGGGAACAGAATTCTTAAATTTGAAGGAAAATTACTGTGACCAGCAAGAATCATGCATAGAATCCTAAGTGACTGTTTTAAGATTACTAACCAAAGTACCTTTTCAAAGAAGGTGCTTGCCTGACTATAAGAATATTGTTTAGCATCCCTATCATGTCTGGTGTGCCTTATGCCTTTTTAGATGAAGATTTTGAATACTGTTTACAAGAGGTTTTACACGTAGGAGTTGGTATGCTCTGTCCAGTTGGTCTCCTGCAGTACTTAGGTAAAATTCTACTTCCTTCTCCTAATACGAGAGGCTGTCATTTGTTGACCATACCTATGGGATGTTCCTTAGAGTCAAACTCTGAACCCTTTCAGCGGAGCATTGTGGAATGCTGCTTTCCCTGTCCTTGTCCCTGGACCCCTCTCCCCTGTTGTGAATGTGCATGCTCCAGGAAATGATTGCACTAAATGGTTGTCTAGCTGTATAGCTATGTGCCAAAATGATGGCAAGCTTTTAAAGGAAGAGTAGAATTCTACATTCATGAGTACTGCAGTGTGCCCTTAGGACTTTGAAAGTTGCGGGGCTTCATCAGTTACACCAATTTCACTAAGCGATAACTGGCGCATGTAGAGCCTTGTGTCTCTTACTTCTAGGGGTCCATGATATTTGGATCTGTTCCTTTGAAATCACTGCCCAAGTTCTCTATTCTCAATTAAGAATATTGTTTCTTTCTTGCACTGTACTCACAAGAAGGTTGTATAAGAATGGAGAAACAACTACCAATATCCTAAACTGTGTTTTGATATCCAGTGTCTTCTCTTCCTGCAACATTCTGTGATATAAAAACCTGTTCTAGAGCATTCCCAGGCTCTTTAATGCAGGTTTTTAATACTCATAGTGAAATGTAGGAAGGTTACTTTGGCAGAAGCAGTGAGATCCATCAGAAGTGTTCTTTTGGATCATGGCTAAACATATTTGGTCACATCCATACTGCCTCTGTTCATACAAAAGAGATATAAAATTATGCTTCCCAAAAGGTTTAATATGCACAAACTGAGACTCAGTAACACAATGGACAAATCTGTATGTCTTGCTACGTATTCATGCTTTTGTCAATATTGCCACTAGGGCTAGTGTGAGCAACTGTTGTGTGGAGCTTCCTTTGGTTCATCAAAAAATTCATTGTGCATAGATTCTGCACACAGAGTAGTACTTTCCAATAATTGTTTTTAAGAGGGGAAAGACTTGCATAGTTCATTTTGTATGAACTGCGTGTATTGAAGAAATTCAATCAAATACATGTGTGTGCTAGGCTGGATTGGTATGCAAAGGGGTTTTGTAGCAACTTTGAGACTGCGAGAAATAAACATAGAATCATAGAGTTGGAAGAGACCACAAAGGTCATCCAGCCCAACCCCATTCTGCCATACAGGAACATGCAATCAAAACACCCCTGACAGATAGCCATCCAGCCGCTGCTTAAAAACCTCCACCAGAAAAGGAGACTCCACACTCCGCCACAACATATTCCACTGCCAAACAGCTCTTACTGTCACAAAGTTCTTCCTAATGTTGAGGTGTACTCTCTTTTCATACAGTTTGAATCCTTTGCTCTGTGTCCTAGTGTCTTACTCAATGTGACAGTCTTTCGTATACTGGTGTGGGGAACATGTGACCCTCGGGATGATGATGGATTCCAGTTCCTGTTAGGGCAGTGGTGGGTAATGATGGGAATCACTGGGAAAGCCATCGGTTCTTCATGCCTCTCCGATCCTCAGTCCCAACAGAAAGAGTGAAGATGCTAGCTAAGATCAGTGTTCAGTTTCCCCATCTCAGATATTCAGAAGAGCCTGGTACACTTGCTGCACTGAACCCTCTATTTAAATCAGGAGTGAGAATGATGCAGTCTTCTAAATGTTGGGTCTGTCATTCCCAGGAATCCTAGGCAGCTTAGTTGATGTGAGGAAGGCTCGGAGTTTCAGCCCAACATGTCAGGAACAATGGGTGATTCCCACCTCTGCTCTGCGCTGTCAGGAGCTTGGGTGCATGCTCACATGTTTTGTAGTGCCATAGTGATAAATTGTGTGGTCTAACTTGCTTTTATATGTAGGTGCCAATGGGAGAATCTTTCTAAAATAAGAATCTACTATATCAGATTGTGCTTCCATGTGAATCCTAAGCATTTGTATCTTCAGTCATCTACCAAGCCCTTGCTTAAGTGCAGGAATGAGCAAGCAGGCATGATAATGGATGCCTTCCAGAGGGTATTATCTGTGTGTCCTAAACAAATGCAGAGTGTTACTTCTTCCATGTTATGAACTTTAAGGTTTGTAACCAGTTTAAATTGGACTTGGCAAATATCAAAAGGGCATATAACTAAAATGAGTTATTTCCAAAATGCATGAGTAATTTGCCAGAATTAATTTTTCAGTGCAAACATGAGATAAGCTTCTACTTTTCGTAAAAGCAAAAGAAAGTTACCAGCATAAATCTGTCCCTAGGAATCACATTTTTGGATGTCAGTTAGTAACAATGAATGTGTCTTGTTGCTGTCAGTGGGACTAAAGCATGTCTACATTCATCTAAATAGAACCTTGTTATATTTTATCACTCTAATACATTTCCCTGATGTATTGAAGACCATGAAATGTAAAAGGCTCATATTGCTGTATTAACACATATCAGTGTTTGTAGCATTATCCAGTTATGAGCCTTTAAAATGGGCTTAATAGTCACACTAGGCTTGCTCAGGTGTTTCTGAATTTTCTCTCAGACTTCCAGGGTTGTAAGAGAACAATTCATGAATGGAGGTGCAAGACCCACTGGTGGGACCCGGTGTTTCACCAGGCTGCTGGCAATGGGTTCATGAGACAGTGTAGCACAAGGCATTTGGCAAATTTTGATTTAGGGGCTAGGGTTGGCATAAAATGCAGCCGGCAGATCCCAAACTCAAGCAAAATTCTGATGGTGGATCCTTTTAATAAACACTTGGCTACTTCATTTTTTAAAATGTTAAATGAACCTCCAGGTGCCAGACCAGGCTGATCTGGCACGTTCAGTTTAATATGGTTTCAATGTTTTGGCTGTAAAGCAGAGCGAGTGGCTCTTGACCTTTAAGACAGCAGTATGCAATTTGTAATATAAATGTTTCTAATACATATATCGACATGCTTATATAGATGAATGAACTCAAGTCTGTCCAAAGTTTGTTATACTTGTGTTAGATGATAGTGCCGCTGACTATATCAATATATTTATTGAGTGCAGAGCCATCCTCATTTGGGTGATGGTGGTAAATTTTGCATATTATGCAGGAGTGCTATTGGTTTCTTTTAGACTATTGAAGCTTGATTGCTGTGATTTTTATACAAAACAATCCCTGTAGTGTGTGTTATAAGCCGCCACAGCAGATATGAAGTCTGTGGATATAAGCGCTTGCCAAAGGCAAGTAAAACACAGCTGTAGGCAGATAATTGTATAGTTTGCCAATATGGCATATAATGGGAAAGACTACCTTTGCTATATGTAGTAATATTTCCTTGCACTGTAAACTCTGCAGTATTTTTATTAAAGTGGTTTAGGTGGACCTGAGCAAATCAAGACTGAACACATTTTACCCATATAGGAGGTAAACAACATCCAAACTGTATGTCCTGAATGGCAAATATTTCATAAATATTTGGGTCAAGGGCATAATGACTTTAAATTGTGATTGGAAACCAGTATTGTGGGAGAGCTAGGTTTCCAGTAACTACTTTAACGTTGAATCTCTTTCAACAGAACTCCGTTCAACAATTTCTGTCTTTTCTCCAGAGACAGAAAATTCAACGTAACTCTGCAAAATGTGACCATCAGGTACATTGTTTTGGGATGATTTCTCTTACACTTTTTTCTCTTCCAAAATAGCTGTGATGGGTTAATTATAACATTCTCACTGGAGTGAGACTATCCAGGAAAACCCAAGCATTTGTACAAAATCTCTCCTCCCACAGCCCCTTCCTTGCTGGTTCATCTAGGTTTTTCTATACATCCAAGTTGAAGACATTTTGAACTGCTGCTTCTGCTCAGATAATTGTCAAAACAGATCGAACGTTGACTTTGCTTCTTAATTACATCTGTAATTTGGGAAAGTACTGGTTTCTGACAAGAGAACCAATGCTGGCAAAGTGGACTGAAATGTCTCCTTTCTCCTGATTTATCAGCCTCATCAGTATTGGAGAAAGCGTTCCGAGGTGATTGCGTTACGATCTCTGAGAACTGGCTTCATGGGCCAAGGCATCTATCACCTCTGCAAGCACAGTTGCTGACCTTTGTATCTGGTTTCCCTTTTAAATGGTTTTAAGAAGTTTTGTATATGGAGGATAAAGTGCTTATATATTTATTAAAGATCCTTTATCGTATTTGAAATTGTTCATAAGGAAGGTTTTCCTTTTCCTTTTAGGGACAAACTGGTGGGGTGGAATGGGGTGGGAAAAGGTTAGTTTTAACCTTTAACTTATCAGATTTTTTTTTAAAAAAACCTTAAGCATGCAGCTTGGTACTGATCATGACTGGCAGGATGGCTCTCTGTTGTATGCTTTGTACATGACATGTCCATGTCTTACACATTTTGTTACTTATCAATGTATTTAGTCATCTGTTTTCAACCAAAACTAAACTTTTAAAACAAAACTGTGATCCCTCCCTTTTTTTCTTTGCAATACAATTGAAATTTCAAAAGGGTACGTTGGGACTCCTAATTAGGTTTTCTAAGTCAGTATGTGCATTTCACGTATGTTAATGGTGAGCAAAGTATTATATACTAACTAGATTTTTTTCCACATCTGTATAGTATATTCTATGTATTTTGTGGTATTGAGATTATAGAAAGTTTAGTGTCTGAAATATGCGTTTAATGTGTATTTTTAAACAAATTTATGGCAATTAAATATTTGGAGAAAAGGGTATCACATTTCAATTTGTAAAGATCTTTTTAACTACTGTGTCATTAAAATGCTTTGTACAATGCAAAACTGTAACTGGAGAAACTAAGTTTAATAAATATCAAATAGATTTTCTGTATTAAACTTTATAAACACTGTGTTTGAATGAATCCTTTCACATGGACCTCTGTGCAGCTGCACTATTCATTGTAAAATGAACTAAAAAACTCTTCAGTTTGAAGATTGGAGTAAAATTGATATTGTGTGTTCATGAGCTTCATTTGGCCGAGATGCAAGGAGGCATGCTATATTTCTATTCTGCTTAGTTACCATTGAATTACTATCGCAGGTATGGTTGCACAGCATTGCTATTGTGCGTCTTCAAGTCGTTTCTGACTTGTGGTGCTCCTATCATGGGGTTTTCTCAAAAAGATTGGTCCAGGGAGGGTCAGCAGCCATGGTCTTCCTGTGAGGCTGAGAAAGTGTGACTTTGCCCAAGTCCACCCAGTGGGTTTCCACGGCCAATGCTCAGACCACTACATCACACACAGCATTATCTACTCTTAATGAGATCAACAGAAATTTCCAAAGTTACAAATACATTTTCAGTATTAGCTGGACTAATAAGCTGCTTAATAGTAGAACTAATAGAAAGAGTGTATTCATAACCAGAAACATCTACTGCTGATCAAATTAATGCTCCCAAAGGTCAATCAATTTCCGTATAGGCTGAAGTATGTTGGACTTTTAAAGAGTAGGTTCAGATGTTGGGAATCAATCTCCTTTTTTGGCAGGCTGGTATGTAAGACCAACAATGACATACATTTGTTCATATGGAGTTTTAATATCTTGCATAGAAAAAACATGGCATATAAACAATATAAAAAGCACAATCAATTTAAGCTACTGTAGCTTGGCTAAAGGCCCACCTTTGAATATGATGGGAAAATGTAACTGGAACGAGCATGTATTTCTGGCACGTTAAAATCTTTTGCAACCATAAAACTGAACTGCTAAATGAAAATCTTTTAATAGCGCTTGATGAAATGATATTAGGTGGGGTAATAATAAATAAACAGGAAGGAGCATTGTTGAAGATTTGTCAGTGAAGAATCATTCCGGAGATGTTCTTAAAGAACAATGTTTACTCCTAAAAAAAGAAAGGAAACTGGTCAGTTTACTTTTTCTTAGTCTTATTGAGACTTAACCTGCAAGCTTTCATTTTTTAAAAAAACATTTGAGTTCATGTTTAGAATTATGGAATTTGTACTTGCCGTAACTTTGTAGGAAATAACACGATTGGAGAAGGTGTAAAATGCATTTCAGTATCTGTATCATGTTTTCATGCTAAACAAAATGCAGTCATAGGTCTGCATTATGCTTTCCAAATGTCTTTTGTTTATGTTGAATTGTATTGTATGAAAACACAGGTGGGCAATGTGCAGAATGTGCACACTACCATGGGTTTTTTTGGTCTTCCAACTCGTTGTCCCCCATCCCCCCAGTTGCCAAGGTAGGAAGCCAGGCATTGGCCCTTAATCCAAGCATCAAACCAGTCTGATTTCACTGCAATTTGCCTGCTTGTTTTAAATTAGTTCCCCCCCCCCCCTAATTTGCCACACAATTTTAGTAGCACACATTAGAAGTTCACACTGTCTTAGACTGGGAGGTGGAAACTGCCCCCCAAACATGCCATAAAGGCTTCGTGGTGTTTAAGGCTGTTAATGTATTAAAATGAAATAGAAAATACAGTAACCTCTTCAGACCTGTGAATTCAACCAATTGCTGACCATCATGCTCCATATTGTTATTACCGTAAATTGGTGGCAACATGAACACACTGAAGCATGTCTGTTCACACCACTAGCATTTACCAATATGGAACATAATCATCTGTGTTTTTTATATCCATGTGAGGTCCTGGTACCAAATCCCCAGATACCGTATAATCACTATACTTCACAGATGAAATTCCTGCCACACTAATGCCATTTAACTTGGCAATCCTGGAGGGTTCATGAGTGCATTTCTCTTTCTCTTTTTTTTGTTGGAGATGATTGGATGATTACTGCACTCTATAACTTTTGACGTGGAACTTTATAACACTATAATCTCTAGCTAAATATGCATAAGGTTCACAAGGAGGAACTTACCTGCATAGTCTTGTGAAGCATTCACTGTTATCCCGGCATGAGGCCCCAGTTGGCCTTAAGAGTCCTCTCCAGAACGGTGTCATTCTCTTTTGCCGTACCAGCGGAGAGCTTGGTAGATACAACGAAGCACCTTGTGTCTGAAACACAATAAGAGTTTGTTTATTTATCATTCTGGAGTTCTGTTACATGACAGTAAGTCATCATAATTCCCTTCACTTGGATCTTCCAAATTTCTATATTTCTATCACCTCCCCATTTCTATATGGCAAGTTATTACTATGATATGTTTCTGCACAAACATTCCCCAAGCTGGTGACAGTTTAAAAACTAATCGTTTTTGTTTTGAGGCACTGTGTATGTGCCATTGTAAGCTGCCTTGAGTCCCTCTGCTGGGGTAGAGAAAGGCAGGGTATAAATATAGCAAATAATAAAAAATAATAAATAAATAAATAAAATAACCATAGATGCTGGGCCTCTGCTTCTGCCATACACATGAATGATTGCTATTCATTGAATTTGGGAGCCCTATTCAGTAAAGTTAAGCCTATGGTGAGAGACATCCTACGAGGGGGTACAGCACATATCTCTATTCTGTAACTTGCTGAATACAAAGCCTCTTTCCAAACATTTGTATGACATAATGATGGTCATTCTGCCAGTAACACCCAAAAACTATGTTTTCTTGATACTAGGTTGTAATCCTTGTTTCCCTGACATATCTAGACATCGTATTTAAGTATGATTTGAAATGCAGGAAATCATATAGGTAACAATTCAAATGTCAAAGAAATGGTCTTACCTGAAATAGCAGGGCAGAACAGATTAAAATAATTGCTGCAATTTTCAAAAGTGTCATCTTTGAATAGCTTGACCCTTGTCAGTATGTTTCCAAAAGGTCCTGGGAGACCTGTGGACATACTTGCCAGCTCCTGCGCCTGGACTTTTATAGAGAAAACCCTTATTGCATCAGTTGCCAGCTTATTAAAGGGACAAAGGTCACTTTAAAGGCAAAGAGATTTAATAAGTTAATGTCTACAAAAGTGATAGTCCAAGGCCTGTCCTCTAGGCTAAATATGTTTGCTTTTCCAAACACTTGTACTTTAAACAGTTTATCAAACATGCCAACCATGTCTTTTTTTAAACGCAGATTTCACCCAGTGTTTCTTCAAAATGTACTTTCAAAGGAGTGCAAAGATCAGAGCAGAAAGAATAGAACTGACCTACAGTTTGTTTTTTCACAGCACTGCTTGGGCTTAGTTGTATGAGAAAGAATTGCCAATAGTTGATCGTGGGAAGACAATGTGGGAAGACAATGGATGTGGATGGTGTTTTCTACAGAAATTCATGTTCTTGCTGATCGGTGCAGGTCAGCCCTTTGCCTTTGTTAATATGTGGAAGCCTTACACACAAAACTACTCATAAAAATCAGATTTCTTAAGAATTAGGCAAGTTGCTGCGGAAGGGTATGATCCCTTGTTCAAAATTTGCCCCAATCATTCTATTGGGAGTGTTTCTAAGAAGGTCCAGTCTGTCTCAGTGGACCTCCCAAGAGTCTGAAATATCAAGAGAATTTTGCCCCATTTGTTATGAATTGTTAAATAGGGTTTTTTTCATGTCACCCAGCTGTTCCAACTCACTCTTCATCCCACCCTGTGTTCATTCTACTTAACACGTAGCCACTGTTAATTCTAAGTATAGTTATTTATTAAATCCCTACAAAGCTAATCTTGGTTTCTTTCAAAAATCTGTAGATAAACTAGTGGAAATAAGACTCAAGTGCACTGATTTGCAGAGCAAACTTTTTTTTATGTTACCTAGATTATTCATTGAGATGTTTCTAAACATACAGCTGTGAAAACTAAGTGAGAAACTTCCTACATACTTTAAGCAATGGTAGCATGCATAAGTCCATTAATTTTGTATACTAGAAGTTAGCATCCGTTTTCTGGAATTCCAAAATCTGAAATGCACCAAAATTTACACATGGGTAGCTGAGATAGTGCTATGTTCACTCTGATGGTTTGGTGTGCATAAATGTTGTTTCATAGCAAAATTATTTAAAATTACCTTCAGGATATGTATATATAGTATACATATAAACATAAATGAATTTTGCATTTAAACTTGGGTCACATTGCCAAGATATTTCATATGCAAATGCAGGTTTTTAAAAAGCCCACAGGTTGAATCTGGCCTGCCATGTCATTTTATGTGGTCTTCTGGATGCTGGACTACAACTCCTATAGTTCTCATCATTAGACATCATGATTAGACCTGAATGGAATTGTGATATCTGGAAGGCTGCAGTTTATTCTGTTCAGCCAGAACAATGGGGTTTGAATTTAGATACAAGGCTTGTGGATATGATGTCTGTTTTTGAAATGTCCTTTAACATTTCCCCAACCTCAGAGCCACAAGTACTGTTGGGTTGCAATTTCCACCTTCCCTAGTCTGCATGGTGGATCATCAAAAGTGATGGGAATTGTTCAATAATATCTGGGGTCCCAAATGGGGTAAAATTAAAGAGCGTCAATCACTATTTTTAAAAAAATGATAGCTGGCCCCTGTATCCACAAATTCTTTGTCCCTGGATTCAATGGTCCTTTGAAAGCAACCATAAGGTAGATGTGGCCCTCAATTAAAATGAGGTTGACACCTCTGGTCTAGGACGTTAAAACCAAATAAAACATTACTTTAAAACAGATTTTTAAAAGTAAAACTATAGTGTGTGTGTATGTGTGTATATATATAGAGAGAGAGATAAAATACAATAAATCTATATAAATAAAAATGTAATGTAGAAGATAGTTTAAAAGCCAAAAAACAAAAATACTACAACGCATGCGCAAAACCACATATATACACAAACACATATATACACATATACACAAATTTTCCTGTCATGGTCAGCTGTGGCAGGGGACGGCTAGTAAATAATAAAACATGAAACCCCATCTCTTTGAAATTCAGATCTGTTCAGGGATGTCTGGGGCCTTATGGAACCAAAGAGAAAATCACCATAATACTGTCAGCTCACTACATTCACTGCAGCTAGGGTTAGAAAACCCCTGCAAAAGTGAGAAAACTGAATTAAAACGTTTTTTATTTGTAAGAAAGCTTTCTGGGAATTTCTAGGCTCTCCTGTGGAGAAGTTGACTATAGATTAACACTTGAGAACCTACAAATGCCTAGAGAAGTGTTCTCCCTAGGAATCTCCATGTCTTTTAGCACAATTCTGTGGTCAACTTCCATAAAAAATGAACCACAGAACCATGCTGGAGATGTAGAGATTTCTAAGATAACATAGTAATCAAATCCATAAAAATCCATCAAGAAGTGAAACCCGTAAATGTGGGGGGACAGTAATGCCAACTAAATCTAGTTCCTACATCTTGCCCCTCCTCCATCTTAATACTTAAACAGTTTAGCACAATTAACTAAATCAAAAGATGTCATTTACTCTTGGTTCAGAAAATTGGATATTGTCATAGTGGCTTCTTTGCTGCAAGAGGGGGTCAGGAGAGAATTCAAAATGAACAAATGAAGTTCAGCAGTGACAAATGCAAGATAATCCACTTAGGCAGAAAAAATGAAATGCAAAGATACAAAATGTGGGATGCGTGGCTTGACAGCAGTACGTGTGAAAACAATATCTTGGAGTCCTCGTGGACAACAAGTTAAAACATGAGCCAATAATGTCATGCAGTGACAAAAAATCCAATGAGATTTTGGCCTGCATAAATAGGAGTATAGTATCTAAATCCAGGGAAGTCATGCTACCCCTCTAATCTGCCTTGGTCAGACCACACCTGGAATACTGTGTCCAATTCTGGGCACTGCAGTTGAGGGGAGATGTTGACAAGCTGGAATGTGTCCAGAGGAGGATGACTAAAATGACCAAGGGTCTGGAGAACAAGCCCTATGAGGAGCAGCTTAAAGAGCTGAGCATATTTAGCCTGCAGAAGAAAAGGCTGAGAGGAGACATGATGGCCATGTATAAATATGTGAGGGGGAGTCATAGGGAGAAGGGAGCAAGCTTGTTTTCTGCTGCCCTGGAGACTGGGACGTGGAACAATGGCATCAAACTACAGGAAAGGAGATTCCACCTGAACATGAGGAAGAACTTCCTAACTGTGAGAGCCATTCAGCAGTGGAATTCTCTGCCCCGGAGTATGGTGGAGGCTCCTTCTTTTGGAGGCTTTTAAACAGAAGTTGGAAGGCCATTTGTTGGGGGTGCTTTGCATGCAATTTTCCAGCTTCTTGGCATGGGGTTGGACTGGATGGCCCACGAGGTCTCTCCCAACTCAATAATTCTATGATTCTGTGATTCTATTACTTTGTTCTTCTATTTATTCACTGCACTCCTTAATTGGTACCCCACATTTCTACCTCAGAACTGGGAAATACATGGCCCTCTAAATGTTGGACAGGCATTCTCACCTATCCCTCATTTACATGCACAGATCATTGAACTAGAAGTGCAGACCCAGAACCTTCGGCCCCAAAAAAAGCAAAAGGGGGAGAGAACTAACCACAATAAAACCCATTGCATTGCAAACCTGCAATCCTAGCCACAGTTGCAAGGGTTACTCCATTAAACAAAGTGATACTTCACTTAACCATCTATAATGCATAAAATGATGGTGAATCCCCCGGAAAGCCCACTGCCATCATAGGCAGCTCAGTGAGAATAAAATATTATATTGGGTGACTGTCAGAGGCACTGAAAATGGAAAGCAAGGACTGAGCAACCCTCGGAAAGGGTGATTTATACTAGAGAAGTGTCATATTTGGCTTGTTTCAACCTTGAGTAGAAGCACCTCTGCACTGCAGCAATTTGTCCATGACTAAAACGGGGAATCAAAAGGCTCTGCAGCAAGGCAAACGGTAAAATCACATGGATGCAAGGGATCAAGAGTTCGTGTCTGCTCCCAACGATGCCATAAAGCTCTCTTTTTGTGCTTATATGAGGCAGCTGCAGTTGCTGCATAGTGCATAAAAGCATGGAAAAATCGTGGCAAACAAGTGAACTGGATCTCAAGAGTCCAAAACAAATGGTTGATGGCCAGTGAGTATCTCTGGAGTGACACTGAAGAGCTTCTCTGGGCCCACATTCCTCCACTAGCAAGACATTGCGCAAAAAGACAGGTATGCCATGCATGCTTCACACTCACCTCAGAAACCTACCAGCTTTAAGAAAAGGGGATTACCAAAGCGCATTGCATTTTAATTCTTTTTTTAAAAAAAAAAACACTAAAAATCCTACTAATCCACGCAAGCCAAAAAATAGCTTTTTATGTAATCAAAAGGGATGGTGGGGGAGGGGGAGCAATGCTGTTCTCTAATTTCCAATATATTGCAATACATTTCAAATGTACTCAAACAGGGAAAAATTCCATTTGAATCATCCCACTTTTTCATGAGGGGTTATCAATTCCTAGAATTACCCATAGGAGTGATACATGATGGTGCCAAGTGATTGCCTCATTCAGATAAGATAATGCAACCTTTCTTGATCTCTTTATCTGGCTCCAACCCTGTTCTGTTCTTTGCCACTGTATCCTTATTCAGCAACGGTCAAGCAAGCACTCTGCCTGCATTCGGTGTGCTGGCTGTCTGGCCATCTCACCTTCAACCCCTCTGTGGACAGCAGAATATGTGTTGACATTCTTTTTCCTAGCAGCACACGGTGTTTCTTTTAAAACTCCTGTCCCTTCCCCGCTCCCCAGCCCCTGTCTAAATGGATGTTGCCTTCTGTGGCCTCCTCTTTAGCCATTCGGGCAGTTACTTTTGAAAACTAATGGATTAATATTAATCATTGCAGAAAAGTAGCCGATAGCTGTTACTTGCCTCATTGAGAGACTAATAGTATTACACATTGAACTGTTGGTTATTTTATATAATAATTATTAATACTATTATGATATTTTAT